ATAAGAAGAGGGGAGGGGGGAATAAAAAGAGGGGGGGGAATAAGATGAGGGGGGAATAAGAAGAGTGGAGGGCGGGGAGTAAGAAGAGGGGAGGGGGGAATAAGAAGAGGGGATGGAGGGAATAAAAAGGGGAGGGGGAAATAAGAAGAGGGGGGGAATAAGAAGAGGGGAGGGGGGGAATAAGAAGAAGGGGCAGCTCTATAGGACAGGGGCCAAGACAGGGAGCTCTTTCACACTACGCGCGCACACACACACAATGCATCCCTATACATACACAGAAACACAACATGCTTCCCTTACACACAGAGAAACACACAATGCATCCATTACACACACACACACAATGCAACCCCCTACACACAAAGACAATGCATCCTTTGCACACATACACAGAAACAGACAATGCAAACCCGTACACACGCATGCAAACACACACACTTCTTTTCTTATATACACACAGAAACACAATGCATCTCATGCACACACATACAGACACACACCTTGCATTCCTTATGCATACAAACACAGATTCACACAATCAGAAACACATAATACATCCTTTATACACAAATACACACTGCTTCCACTACACACACACACTGCATCACCTGCACAAACTGGTAACCCTAAACACTACATACCATAAGCACACATATTAGATCCTCTACAATAACACATAACACATCCCCTACACACTCCACTCCCTGTGAGCGAACTCATGGGTGGGTGGAATTTATGAGTGGGCCTTATGGGCATACTCACCATCAGGCCCTGGGGCCCAGACTTTGAGCTGTGTAAGGGGCCCCAAAAATGGAGCTGCTTCCAATTCTCCCAGAACATTGAATTTTGTGACCACAGTTGCAAACAGCCTCCAGAGATCCTGTTCTACACCAGACCAGTGGAGCCAAACTGCAGCCCATCATCATCCTCATCTGCTTGTGAGTAGGCAATCTAGTATATTATTAGTGACACTAATCTATAATTTACCTCACATTAAAGGGACACTATAGCTTAATGAAGTGGTTCTGGTGTCTATAGCTGGTCCCTGCAGGCTTTTTAATGTAAACACACACTGTGTGCAGCACTGGCGTTAGTTCATATGGCAGATCATATGGGTGGGGCATTGTGATGTGACATGTGGGGGCAGCAAATTTTTATTTTGTCTAGGGCGGCAAAAATCCTTGCACCGGCTCTGATCCTGGGCAGGTGCACCAGTCTACTTGACTGGTTTTGCCCCCCAGGCCTAAGGCTGCCAGCCCTCCCCTGGCCGCTGGGGAGGTCTTTTGGCGGCCGCTGGCGGACTTGTCCTGGCGGCCGCTGAGGGAGCTGCGCGAGCTGCGCTGGCTCTGCTCCCCAGCACGCAGCTGAATGAGACCGGCGCCGGAATATGACGTCATATTCCGGCGCCAGTCTCATTCAGCAGCGCGCGAGGGCGGGAGGGCACTAACACAGGAAGCACCTCTAGTGACCGTCTGAGTGACTGTCACTAGCAGTGTCACTTTGAAGCAATGTAAACACTGCCTTTTGTCTGAAAAGTCAGTGTTTACGTTGAAAAGCCTGTAGGGACATGCTATAGACACCAGTACCACCACATTAAGCTGTGTGTGTGCATCTGCTAGTGAGTGAGCTTGCTTGCATGCGTGTGCCTGCTAGTGAGTGAGCTTGTGTTTTTATGTCAATGAGCTGATGTATATCAGTAAGATTGTTTGTCTATGAGGCTGTGTATCAATGAGCTTGTGTGTGTCACTGAAATGTCAGTGAAATTGCCTGTGTCTGCATGTGCGTATGCTTACTGTATAATTAAACGTTTTACCCTGAAAGGACCAATATTTTATATTAGAAAAAGCAATATATATATATATATATATATATATATATATATATTACTCAATCATCTGTCCTGGCAAGACATAGCCTTACATATTACACGCGACAATATATGGCGCAGTGACTTATGGGGCTGGCACAAATTTTTTTTCCAGGGCTGCTTTGTATCCCCAGTCCGGGCCTGCCCACATGTGATTGCAACAAACTGTTGTAATAATAAATAAAAAGTATTAAGTATTGGTATGTTATCCTTGAAATCAAAATCAAGAGAGGGGGGTGTGTTATAGAATCGTCGGGGAGATATGGAAATATACCAGAGTATTTGGGAGCGAAGATGGCAGCGTACCTCAAACCAAACGTGAGGTCGAGATGCTAGCCGAAATAAACGGATTCCCAATTGTAATACTCAATAAATTCCCCCCCAAAAAAGAAAAATAACACTATAATCTTAGAGCAAAACGGTAAAGAAGTAGCCCAGACTTAGACAAGCAGTGGAGCCCGTCCTCGTGTATAGACAGAGCTCATCTAGTGTAGATAGGGTTAAGCACAGCGTAATAAAGTGCCATCAGCTAAATGCTATTACTCTATATCAGGGGTAGGCAACCTATGGCACTAGTGCCATGCACGGCACTCGAGGTGTCTTTGCACGGCACTCAAGGCTGCTATAGCCAAACGCACTCTGACCTATCAGGAGTCCCAGTAAAACTTCAGTTTTCTGCTAATACGAAGAGGTGGTGAAGGACAATCCTCAATTTATGCATTGCAGCACATAGAGGAAGTGATCTCAGATCACTTCCTCCCAGCACTTCCTCGACAGCTATCGCAGCTCCTGTTCTTGACCTGTACCTGGCCAGCCTGGTCCCCACTGGAACCCACCCACACTGCTAGATATACACAGAAATGCAGAATAACCCTCCCCCATACAAATAATATGAACAGCCCACACACACACACACACCACACACAATCCCCACAAACGCAACACCACTAACAATATACATACATGCACACAACCCCACATGCAGCCTCTCACATGTAATACCCCAAACAGCCCCCACACACTACCAAACACACAATGTGACATATCCATCCACACACAATTCCACAAGCAGCCCTCATACACAGCCCACATTCATATGTATCATACACAATACCATAAACTACTAATGAACACATACAATATAATAGCTCATATACGCACAAATACAACGATACAAAGCAATTACAGTAAAAATAACAAGCAGAATACGGCAGCATACACACCTCAATTTTAAAAAATAGGATCGACACACTACGGGACATCACAATCCTATATCGGCACAGTGCTGCTAAAAGGTTGCCTACCCCTGCTCTATATCATATTCCCTAGAAAATCTACTGAGTACTAGGCTGTCTAAAGTTAACTAGAAGAGTACCCGATCCGTATGCCAACGGGCCTCTCAGATCCCAATTACTGGTCTAATCTCTAGTCAGCATAGGAATCTAAGGCTAAACCCCCTCATCCTCTGATCAATTAAAGTACAGAAAAGACGACGTCTAAATATGCATAAGTATGCCGATATGCTAAGTGTGCATCAGTAAATTGGTATGCCCAACGCGCGTTTCGGCATACACAAGCGCCTTTATCAAGAGCTAACCGAATGTGGAATGGTGCCACATTTTTAAACCCCCCAAATGCCCGCCTATTTTTTGTTCAACATGTCCTATACTTTAGAATAGATACCTTGTAGCCACACATTCTTTAATATGATTATACACCGGCTAATCAAGGTATCCCAGGACTTTAATATATAATATTTATTTCTGATTTGTAGTCTGAATAATATTTTACAAATCAGCCAAGTGCTTTGATGTAGTAGTTCATGTTTGGGGTATAGAGACTAGGTATGGGAACACTTATTTAGTTAACCCGTTCCAGTCTCTTCTCCATTTATCTATAATGGAGAGAAGCTTCTCCACTGCCCGTCTCACTAGCGAGACAGATTTCCAATGTGGTATAGAGTTCTGTGAACAACTCCGTGCATGGGCTCAAGATAAATTGGCCGATCAGGCAACTTGTATTAATGATATTGTTCAAGACAAGAATTAATAGGGAAATATCACTCTAGATTGTCTCAAACCTTCTCTGATATAGGATTTAATTTGTTTAATAAGGCCCACACCCAGATGAAAAATTCAGGAGTCACTAATTCATGGGATTTATGGTTCGGATGGTTGAGTAACTGGCAAAAAGTGTTGGTCCAAGTAAGCATGGCTGTCTTGATTTTCATGCTCCTCTTTATCATCTTCTTCTGTTGTATTTTACCATGCATACAAAAATGTGTGCACAAGACAGTTAATGAGACAAGACAGCCACTAGAATAGATAATTGGCCCTATATAGATTCCAAATGAACAAAATAGGGGACAGATAAGGGGGTAACCTTACGGTAATAAGTAAATGAAAAAAAAGAAAATAATCTGTCCCAATACAATACTGGAAAGGATCAATGAAATACTTTATTAATAGAACTAGAAACACACGCAAACAAATACTAAATCACTAGTCACTACTGTCTCAATAGTGGATAATTGAGGCAGAAGGTGTGACTAAGTTAAATATATTAAGTGAGGAATAAATACAAACGGGGAGGGGAGTGAAATAGATATAAACGAAAACGGGCAAAAACCCAGAAGGGGGGTTAAGTAGATAAGCCCCCCCCCCCAAAGAAATGTAATTAGTCACTGCACAATGCACGCAATATAGTTGCAGTAAATGGCTACTTAGCACGATCAAGATGTATATACATAGAGTAGCGAAAATAGATTGCCAATTAACTACCTGAGTGGCAGGAAGTCATGTATCGAAATAACGTAACAAAATCTATTAAAACGCTGAGGTAGACATAAGGTGAGCAGCACCATAAGAATAGCTGCCTGAGAGAATGCGAAACTAATATTGCGTGCTGTAATAAACAAAATAGAAAAATTATAAAATCAATAAATAAAAGCAGCTAGCAGGTTAATGCCCCACTGAAAACCAGAAAAAGTCCCCAATTTGCAGTATACCAGTTAACTCACAGTAATTCTAAATAAAATGTCACTGAAAATATCCTAATCTGTGCCTTCAAGGGCACCTGTCTTTAAATAAAAATAAAATAACTGGCTAACTGTACTGTAAAATGGCTAGATAGAAGGATAGCCCTTGAGATAGAATGATATGGAATGATGTAAGTAACATTTCCACTAATCTGTGCCTTCGTGGGCACCTATCGGTACAAATAACAGAGCTAAACTAGTCTAATAAGCTGGTAACAAAATCTATTATAATTAATCTGATAAGGTAGTCAGTAGAAAGGTCCTAGGTGTAGCGATCTAACAAGGTGATGTACGTGCAAGATAGCACGAAATATTTAACACCGAACCGGACCTAATGTCAAGAGCCCCGACGCGCGTATTGCCGAACACAGGCTCATCAGGGGGAACGGACTCCTCAAACAAGGTGAGTTTAAATAAACCTCCAAAAGTCCTCATTGGATCAACCGTGATGTCATGAACTAACATACCAGACTACGGTGGCTCAGCGCAATCAAATGAATGAGAAATGCGTTTTGATAAAGGTCCATGAAGTTAGTAAGTTGTGTAGGTTTATATATTGCATTTCAACATGGTAGTTAAAGATTGGTAGTTGAAATAAGACTGAATAATATGTACTCATAATGTTAAGGGAATGAATCAAGGTGTCCACAATAAAGGTTAGGATGGTTGTAACCACAAAATAAATAAGTTTCAAACCAGGTTATGATGATAATGACGATCAAAAATCCATATTACTCAATGTGTAATGGATGTACTTAATGAATAGTTCATGTTAGTGACATATTATAGCGGTTAGAGAATATCATCTAAGTGAAAATAGAGTTGTAGGAGTGGGTTAATAGAAATGTTATATTAACTAAACCGAATCAAATATATTATATATAATATATTAAATATATTATAATAACTGCCACAAAGTGCCAATCAAATAAAAATAATAACCTATAATAACCTAAAGTGCTTGTAATTAAAGAATGAATGCAGTATAATTAAACTCTTCATTGAGTCCCATTCTTGGGACCAATGTCTTAAAGAGATAGATCTATTTGGATTCCTTTTGCAACAAAATTCTGTTGAATTTACCTTTTCTTGGATTAGGCAATAACCTTTCTGTTGCCTGAAACCTTACATTATCTACTTTGCCTTCATGAAAATTGTTAATGTGTCTGGCCACCGGTGTAGGAGTAATGATGTTATTAATAGTATTAATATGTTGTAAAATTCTCCTACGAAACTGCTGGAATGTTTTACCAATATATTGGGTACCGCAACTACACGTTATTACATAAATAACACGTGTAGTGCTACAATTTACCAAGGCATTGGTGGCTACATTGATTTTGGATTGTGTGGATTGAACAGTCTTTGAAGGAGTAATGTACAAGAAGGTCCTGAAGATTAGTGGGTCTGCGTGCTGTAAGAGGTGGATGGTTAAGTAAAATAATTTTAAGAAATGGATTATGAAGTAGAATGGGCCAGTTGTTATGAAGTATGTGCGACATTGTGTTCCAGCCTTGATCAAAAGTGGCAATACACCTTGGAGTCTTTGAATCCAGTTTTGGTCTAGTTGTGATAAGGCTTAGGTGTCTATCGATGCCACTGGCCCTTTGAAAAGCCTGTTTGAGAACACGGTTACGATACCCTAATTCTTTAAATCTAGACCTTAAGAGTTGACATTCTTTGTAATAGGTGTGCTCTTCGGAACAGTTTCTTCTCGCCCGTAGCTATTGGCTAAAAGGAATGGATGCTTTTAACCTATAGGGGTGATGGCTACCCCAATGAAGGAGACTGTTGGTAGAAGTGGATTTCCTAAATAATTTGGTTTGGATAGTGCCATCTGGTGTTAATATGATTTTTAGGTCTAGGAACACAAGTTCGTGTTCATCGATCACATGCGTAAGTTTTAAATTAATCTCATTGTCATTTGGGGCCTGAACAAATCCCTCGAACATCTGGACGGAGCCTGTCCAGAGGAGCAGCACATCGTCAATATATCTATGCAAGCTCAGAATATAACCGTGAAATCGGCTAAATTTGTCTGATGTGACGACATGCTGCTCCCACCATCCCAAAAACAGGTTGGCGTATGTGGGTGCGCACGTAGTACCCATAGCCGTCCATGAAATTTGTAAATAATACTGTCCATTAAAGGTAAAATAATTATGGGTCAGTACAAAATGTAGGGCGGCTATAAAAAAACCTTTTCTGAGAATCGTTGTAAGAAGTATTCTCCAGAAAGTATTTACATGCTGGAAGGCCCATATGGTGGGGTATGTTTGTGTATAAAGCAACCACATCCAAACTAGCCAACATAGTGTAAGGAGTGACTGTCCTGTCTTGTAAAAATTGTAAGGTTGTTTTGGTATCCTGAAGATAAGAGGGTAGCGTTAATACCATTGGATGTAAAATTTTATCTATGTATTGGCTAAGGCGTTCAGTCAAACAATTGTTACCAGACACAATGGGTCTCCCAGGTGGAGGTTGGGTATCCTTGTGTACTTTTGCTAAACAATAAAATGTGGCAATTGTCAGATTATGGTGTGGTAATAGAAAATTTTATTCATCTGGGGTTATGACCTGATGTGTCTTAGCATCTGCTAATAGAGTGTTTAGTTCACTTATAAACTTAGTAGTGGGGTCCGAGGGAAGAGTTCTGTAACAGGAATTGTCGTCCAGATGGATCATGCACATATTGATGTACTCTTGTCTATTTAATAGGACGATATTACCCCCCTTATCCGCTGGCTTGATAATGATGTTATCAAGTGATTTCCGTTCTTTTAGTGCTAAACGCTCCTGAAAACTCAAATTGTTAGTAGTGGGGGCATAATTGGCAGTCATCTCAAATTGATTTAGGGACATTTCTACAAAAAGATCTACATGAGGTGTGTCCTTAAAATTGGGTGTAAAACAACTTGGTGGTTTGAAGTTGGTAAGTGGTCTTAACGGGTCCTGTTCGTCCTGAAGACTTGTCAATATTTTAGAAAGCTTATAATCCTTAGAAGAAAGACCTAGATCATTAGCGTGCTGCTGATCTATTTTAGCATGCATAATGTTTAGAGCGAGTTTCCTGCCAAATAAATTTATGTCTTTTGACCAGTTGAATTTGCTGCAAGTAGGGGGGGTACAAAAGAGAGTCCTCTACTGAGGAGGGTCATATGACGTGTTTGTAATGGGAAGTCTGACAAATTAATAATTCTATTGCTAGTTACGTCCTCTGTGTTCGACCTTGTGTTTTGCAAGCCCAACGATCTCTGTCCCTGAGTCTCCCCCGTTGTTGACGGGGGGGGGGAGTCCTCGTCTAAAAAAGTGTCAGATGATGTGGTGGACAAAGTCTAGGGATTGTTAATTTCTAAGGGAATTGGTATGTCCAAAAATGACACAGATTTGTCAGTGTTCCTGAGGATACTTCTGTTCTGATGAGGTTGGGCCACAAAGTCCCTTTTGCGATCAGTACTCCTATTAGATAGTGATCTGCGTCTAGATCTAGAGGGTTGATCTTGATCTGACCAATCAGTCTCACCAGAGGAAGATCCTCTGTAATTACTTTGTCTCCCCATTTTTAAAGTCTCCAAAGTCCCGTTGAAATTTATTGTGTTTTTTGATCTTTAGGTGTTGTCTAAAACTAGTAATATTTTTCTGTAACTTGTTTTCCATTGGGATGTAAAGGTTGTCAGACTTAAAATTCTTTATTTGTATGATTTCATTTTGCAATTAAATTTTTTTAATATGTTCCCCTATATCCTTTAGTATCCACATCTCTTATCGTTATTACCCTTAACATTATGAGTACATATTATCCAGTCTTATTTAAACTACCAATCTTTAACTACCATGTTGAAATGCAATATATAAACCTACACAACTTACTTACTTCGTGGACCTTTATCAAAACGCATTTCTCATTTGTTTGATTGCGCCGAGCCACCGTATTCCGGTATGTTAGTTCATGACATCACACTTGCGGTTGGTCCAATGAGGACTTTTGGCAGGTTATTTAAACTCACCTTGTTTGGGGAGTCAGTTCCCCCGATGAGCCTGTGTTCGGCGAAACGCGCGTCGGGGGCTCTTGACATTAGGTCCATTTCGGTGTTAAATAGTTCGTGCTATCTTGCACGTACATCATCTTGTTAGATCGCTACACCTAGGACCTTTCTACTGACTACCTTATCAGATTAATTATAATAGATTTTGTTACCAGCTTATTAGACTAGTTTAGCTCTGTTATTTGTACCGATAGGTGCCCACGAAGGCACAGATTAGTGGAATTGTTACTTACATCATTCTATCTCAAGGGCTATCCTTCTATCTAGCCATTTTACAGTACAGTTAGCCAGTTATTTTATTTTTATTTAAAGACAGGTACCCTTGAAGGCACAGATTAGGATATTTTCAGTGACATTTTATTTAGAATTACTGTGGGTTAACTGGTATACTGCAAATTGGGGACTTTTTCTGGTTTTCAGTGGGGCATTAACCTGCTAGCTGCTTTTATTTATTGACTTTATAATTTTGCTATTTTGTTTATTACAGCACGCAATATTAGTTTCGCATTCTCTCAGGCAGTTATTCTTATGGTGCTGCTCACCTTATGTCTACCTCAGTGTTTTAATAGATTTTGTTATGTTGTTATTTCGATATATGACTTCCTGCCACTCAGGTAGTTAATTGGCAATCTATTTTCGCTACTCTATGTATATACATCTTGATCGTGCTAAGTTCCTCTTGCAACAAAGGTGCAAGAAAAAAAAAAAAATAGCAAAACCGTCAGATCACAAATAAGGAACCCAAAAACCACTAGACAAGTTTTGATTAAAGAGACATACAGGGAAAACAAAATTTTTTTGAATGGTAGGCAATTATGGTCTGCTCTATTCTTTGCAATAAACAGGTCATGTGTTCCATTGCCTTGCAGCTATGTTGGCCTTGGTGACTAATTTCACACTTTATTTAAACAAGCTCTTTGCCAGAACCATTTTTCCTCCAGATCTGAACCTGTTGTGACCTAGATTCAGATATGTTCAAAGATGCCGATTGGTCAAATGATTTGGCAAACATACCGAATTGTGCAAAATGTTTTCATCATCTTCACTGAAACAATTTGTTGGAACATTGCAAACTATGGCACACAGCTTTCAATGGCCCCTAATAAATCAAACATTTTATGATTCCGTTCTGCTTATCTACTTCCCTAATAAAAATGTTCATATAGTTGGATGAAGAATAAATGAAGTGTCTAATTGAGCTTTAATGTGGAACACAATGTTCTTGATGGACGGTATGGATAATGTGGCAGGCATGATGATTCTGGGGGGAGAAGGAGGAATCATCTGTGCCAAACGAGTGAAACAAATATCGGATTTATTGAAAGAAATCAAAACCTGCACGCATCTTCAAATCAGTTATGGAGACAGATATACAGTGCTTCTCTTCTATAAATAAAAGCATACTTAATGTAATAATATTTTTTGCCAGAACAGAAGCATCCTAAAACAACTCCAATGCAAAAATCTATAGAAAACCCAAAATACACATGCCACAGTGTATGATTTGTGGAGATTGGGTTACTTATATGCTTTCAGTTGGCTATTGATGTATGTATTCAGATTATTAGAATTTAGGGGCCAGAATAGCAAGTTAACCAAACTCAACATCTACATCTATCTCTCTCTCTCTCTCAGAGGCCCTGGGCAAAAGGATTTACTGAATGCCTTGCAGCACTACAGGTTAAACATACAGTCCATAATAAGTAATCTGTGTAAAATATTGTGTAAATTTAGTATGTGGAAAGATGGACTGTGCCCAGTGGTACACAAAGCCTGCTCTGCTAGCTCTTGATTGAGATGCACAACATTTAGCGATAAAGAAAGTCAGCCTGTATATTTGCTCCAATCTCAACTTCCCATTTGTCGCCATTGTTTAGAAGTTTTTCTTTGTTGTACAGAAGTTCCTCGTGAGTTTCTGTGCTGAATTCAAAGTTTGGACCCTACAGACAAAAGAGCGAGAAATAAATAAAAAATAAAACTATTGCAGTAAATCAAAAACTAAATATCAGACATACCCTTATCACTATAAAACAACACAGGAAGTCATATACACTAACACAAGACTTCACAAAATTCCATAGAATCTAGTAACTAGGTTTAAAAATATCCATTAGGAATACACATAAAAACACATGCACAGATACATAGGTGCACTCTAAACGCTCACACACAACCATTGAGTGAGTCATACACATGCACAGACATCAACTCACATACCTACTTAGTCACAAATAGCTAGCCCTAACACACAACCTTAACTAGTCACTACCACCTGAGTGAACAAGTCAGATGTGCAGCTAATGCAAGGACTTCGTAAAACAATTTACAAATAAATTAAAAAAAAAAAAAAATCTCAAAAACAAATGAGACTAAATCTTAAACCATTACCACCAAAAGTAAAATTACACAACTAAGATTGATCAATTTATCAAAATCGCACTTTAAGTGACTTAAAAGTCGATTTACCCCCCATTTCAGTAATTTCCATAATATTAATCCCTTAACGCCGTTACAGCGTTCTATGCCGCCACCATTATAATTGGCTTTAAAGAGCGATCACATGGCCCCCTATAGCTGGCTATTGTGGATTCTTGTCAGACAGTCCCCCTGCAAGTGGTAGTAAAAAAAAAATATATATATATATAAAAGGTTTAAGTAAATATATATGACGTTACATATACACACACACACACACATAAATATATATGTAACGTCATACGTAGTGTATTTTATTATTACATTAGTATTAAAATATACTTAGAATGATATAGATATATATATATATATATTAAAAAATAGATGTATAATTACAATAATAAAAAAAAATTCTAAAAAAATTAAAATAAATTATATATACACACATATGTAATTTCCTTCTAACTGCATTTTGTATAATATATATACACAAGACTATTGTGACTGAAACGTTGACATTTTTGTATTCTGCACAATAAAGCAGTATTTATTTTGATATAAAACGAAGACTCCAGAGTGCTCTCTACTTGGATGCTATATATATATATATATATATATATATATATATATATATATATATATATATATATATATATATATATATATATATATATATATATAGTTATATATATATATATATATATATATATATATATATATATATATATATTATACATATATATATATACACACACACACACACACACACACACACACACACACACGTTTATTAAAATTCTATGTGTCTATTTAAGTAATCTTTTAGCATAATTATGTGATTTTATTAATTAAATTTTATTGACATGCCTGACAACCCAGGCAGAAAGTGCAGAGAATTTAATTTGCAAGCACTATATTTAACCCTGTAAACACCATAAAACCTGTACATGGGGGGTACTGTTTTACTCGGGAGACTTTGCTGAAAACAAATATTAGTGTTTAAAAATGGTAAATTGTATTACAACAATTATATTTTTAGCAAAAGTGATTTTTTTGCATTTTTCACACATGAACGGCACTTTTACTGACTATATTATTGTTGTAATAAGTTTTACGGTTTTAAAACACTAATGTTTGTGAAGTCTTGCATTTTATTTTTTTCCACATTGAAATTTGCCAGTTTTGTAATGTTGCCTTTGAGACCGTATGGTAGCCCAGGAATGAGAATTATCCCCATGATGGCATACCATTTGCAAAAGTAGGGCACCCAAGGTATTGCAAGTGGGGTATGTCCAGTCTTTTTAGTAGCCACTTAGTCATAAACACGGGCCAAATATTAGTTTTTTGCTTTTTTCGCTCAAAAACAAATAAGAACGCTAATTTTGGCCAGTGTTTGTGACTAAGTGGCTACTAAAAAAAGACTGGACATACCCCCACTTGCAATACCTTGGGTTGTTTACTTTTGCAAATGGTATGCCATCGTGGGGGTAATTCTCATTCCTGGGCTACCACACTGTCTCAAAAGGTAACATTACTAATGTGGCAGATTTTAATGTGAAAGAACTGAAAAATGGAATGTGCTATTATCTGACCCTGTAACTTTCCGAAACACCGTAAAACCTGTTAAAGGGGGGTACTGTTGTACTCATGAGACTTGGCTGAATACAAATATGTGAATTTTATTGCATTAAAAGCTAACTGTATTATGACATTTACAGCTAAAATGTCAGACGAAACTACAATTAAAAAAATAAAAATCTTAATTTCTCAGTTTTATTTTATTCATAATAAATTATGTTTCATATATGAATAGTTCATGAGAAAGGAAAGCCCTGTTTTTCCTGAATAAAATGATATATAATAAGTGTGGATGCACTTAATATGAAAGAGGCGAATTACAGTTGAACAGACATACAGCGCATATTCCAGTTTTTGTTTACATTGTTTTGATCAGAACATGTACTATTGTCTCTGTCCTGAAGGGGTTTAACTCTTTTTGGAAGCTGTAAAAAAAAAAAAAAAAAAAACACACCACTCTCTCTCCAAACAGTAACCTTTCAAAAACAGGGCAACAGGCTTTAATTGTATTGAAAAATTATACAATTAAATACATTTCTTCAAAAATAGAAGGCGATTCTTGACCAGGGAAGTAGTGAGTGGTTGCTATCAGGTGACGGATATGAATCACCACTTTAGAATAGCAACGTTTTACTGCTTGCCTAAAGTTCATAAGGATTTACCCACTGTAAAGCGCTGCAAAATTTGTTGGCGCTATTTAATAATCAACAAGTAGGCCTATTGTGACGTACACAGATAGGTAATGTCTACATTGATTGGATATTGAGACCCTTTGTAAAGGGATTACCCTCATACATCCAGGACACCAAAGGAGCTCGCTCTCGTCTTAGACCTAACAGTGCTTCCGTCTGCAAGTCTCTGAAGCCTGGATGAGGAGTCATTTTATTCCTCCATCCCGCACGATAGTGACATTAAGCATATAAAATATCTTTCTTGGATAGAAGAGGGTATGATCACATATGAACTTCCCAATAAGGCTACTGGAATTTATCCTGTCACACAATTACTTTTTATTCAACAAGAAATGTTACTACCAGGTAAGGGGAACTGCGATGGGGACGGATTGTGCCCCATTTTATGCTATCCTGCACCTGGGCTGGTGGGAAAAAAATACTAAGTAAGAACAAATTTGTAAATATCTTTCTATGACACATACATGGCAGGGTGCTTTATGCTCTATTTAAAACACATTGTTTGTTTCTTTGGTTGAGTGTCGCGTAGTGTAATTTAAAAAAGATTTTTTGTTAGGTTAGTACTGCCAAAAAAATTATAATTTTTTTTTTGGTGGTAACAGTTTGGCATTTAGTCTCATTCCTTTTTGAGATTATCTAATTTTTTTTGTTAAAAACTTGGGTTATGCCTATGTTGCCCACCTAGCCCATTTTCGCATCAGTGGATAGGAATATATAAAAGGAAATATTGAATGGTATAAGAAGGCACACCAGAGGGTAAACATGGCACACTGGGGAGAATGGAGAAAGCAGAGTGTTGTAATGGGGCACTATATTGGTTTAGTACATAGCACACTTGGAATAACAGAGCTCACCGGGAGGAGTACCCTGGAGAAGCTATAAGAGAGAACACTTGCATGTAGACAAGGTCACACAGAAGAGGTTTTAGTGAAGGATATAAAAGGGCACACTAGGGAGACCATGGGAAGGATCAGTGAGTGCACACTACATTAGTATAGTTACAGGAATACACCTACATCCTAATGTTAAGTCTTATTTTCCGTTTATGCTACCTAAACCCTTATCTAAAAGATTTCTTGAAGATTAAATTCCTCATCCTGATAGCTGCCAACATACGAATTGCCAGAAACTGGAAATCAACTACAGTAGCCACAGGCACAGATATAGAGACACTGCTATCTTTAAACTATAAAATTATGATGTTCAAGCAGGATGTGGAAATAGGGTAACAAAGAGGGTTGGTGAATTGTGGGACTACCCTCAAACCCAAGGATAATCTGGAGGATCACATTGTAAACATTAAAGGACCACTATAGGCACCCAGACCACTTCAGCTTAATTAAGTGGTCTGGGTGCCAGGTCCAGCTAGGATTAATCCTTTGTTCTATAAACATAGCAGTTTCAGAGAAACTGCTATGTTTATAATAGGGTTAATCCAGCCTCCAGTGGCTGTCTCATTGACAGCCGCTGGAGGTGCTTCCGCGCTTCTCACTGTGATTTTCACAGTGAGAAGACGCCAGTGTACATAGAAAAGCATTGAGAATACTTTACTATGGACTGGCTGAATGCGTGCGCGGCTCCTGCTGCGCATGCGCATTTAGCAAATGTCAACGAGAAGGAGGAGGAGAGTCCCCCGCCCGGCGCTGGAAAAAGAGGTAAATTTACCCCTTCCACCCCCGAGAGCCCGGCGGGAGGGGGGACCTAAAGACCCTATAGAGCCAGGAAAACGAGTATGTTTTCCTGGCACTATAGTGGTCCTTTAAGTGTTTTATAGAACCTTATGAATACCAAAACATCAACAGCAGCCCAGTTTACTGTGCATATGCATAATGAGTCAGAGCCACAATAGGTTTACAGGCCAGTCAATCAATGCCATTATATGTTTATAGGCTTATATATCATGTGCTGTTGAGCTACCCGATAAAGGAAAAAAACTTTAGGTTTATACTCTTAACCCTTAACCACTCCCCTCCCCCCCCATGGTCCCTCTCAACTCTACCTCTTTATATTTTAAGTTATCCGTTGTATGAGTTTTCTTTTTGTTCTTGTGTTCATTTGTTTTTTTCTACACAAAACTGAACATTAATCTTATTGTCTGTTGTAGTCAGACAATGCTCTTGCTCTTTAGACATTCTGGTCACCATAATAACTTAAACTAAATGAAGTTATTATGCCAGCAGGCCCCCAGACGCACATTTACCTTAACAGGTTAAAAAAACACACACACACACACACACACACACACACTGAAAATATATAGACTACTTTTGCCATTACTATACAATTTTAACATTTTCCCTTCCATTAAATTATTTTGTTTTGTCTCTAGCCAACGAAAGACTCTGCAGCAAATATCCAAGATAACCATACCTCTACAATAGCATCTACAGGACAAGCCTCTTGACAGAAGCCACAATAGATACATTTGGTCATATCAATGTCATATCTTGTGGTCCGACGACTCCCATCAGCTCGGGGTTCTGCCTCTATTGTGATAGCCTGCAGTGAGAGACTGTTAAGCATCACCATTCATTACAAGAAAAAAAAAAAAAAAAAAATGATGTCAAACAAAGTGTCTCTAACCTACCTGTGCAGGGCAGACAGCTTCACATAGCTTGCAGGCGATACAGCGTTCTTCTCCAGATGGATACCTGCGTAATGCATGCTCTCCACGAAACCGTGGGCTGAGAGGACCTTTCTCAAATGGATAATTGATGGTTGCTGGCTCCCTGAACATGTAACTGAGAGTCATTCCTAGACCTGGGTTGATGAAGATAGAAACAGATGAGAAAAGCAGACTAGCTGCTGATCTAAAAAGTAAAAGGAGTGCAGGTTACAAGGATCAGAAGCAGCTTTAGACAAGTCTGTAAAAGTCTGGTTCAGATTCCACCACCCAAAACTCTGTACACTAGTGTAGCGTTACTTACCTTAACCGGGGGCCGGTCGCGGTCCTCTCTTCAAGCCGCGCGCGGTCCTGCGGCTGCACGAGCCGCGCGCGGCTCATCCAACTACTTCGGATGGAGGGCGGGCAGTGACCGCGTGAGGCGGTCACATGTCCCGCCTGAAACTAAGAGCGCGCCGCGAGTCTCGGGCGCGCTCTTAAAGGGACAGTGGGTGCCTAAATTGGAAAAGGCATCCCATTGGTCCCTGTCATGCCACACTCCCCATACACTTACCTTTTGGGGGCGTGGATGTGACAGGGACCAATCAAATTAGATGTTTTGGTATTTATACTCACCTTCTTCCCTTTGTTCCTTGCCCTATCGTGGTTTCTGTTTCAGTTCCCTTTAGCGCTTGTGGTGTTCAGTTGTGTTTTCTCGTATTGACTTTGGCTTCGTATTCTGACTTCGTTTTCGCTTTATCCTTATCTGTACTGTTTGCCGGCTTGCTGTTTTCCGTGTACCAGACCCCGGCTTGTCCTAGTTTACGCTGTCTCTCTGTGCCCTTGACCTCGGTTTGTTCCTGGCTCTGTCTTCTCTCATATACGTCAAGTCCGGCCATTCTAAGGTCCGGTAGACGTATCTCTCCTCTGTATTTGCCTCTGTTTAGCTGGATCCTGCGTGTAGGGGTATATTCTCGTTACATTACGATAGGGCCATGGACCCCGCAGATTTAGCTCAACAGATGGCGTCCCATGAGGCAAGATTTGTAGAGCAGGATCACCGTATGGATCAAATAGCTCAGGCTCTCCAGACGCTCCTAGCTAGAACCGTTCCCGCAACTACACCTAACCCTCCTACGCCCCTTCTCCCTGAAGTATCTACTTTGCCTAATACTTCGGCCCATTTAACACCTCCTCCTAGGTATGGAGGGGACTCTAAGACTTGCAGAGGGTTTATTAATCAGATTGAATTTCACTTTGAAATGTATCCTCGTTCATTTCCCACAGAGAGGTCTAAGGTTGGGTTCTTTATGCACCAACTTACCGATAAGGCACTTGAGTGGGCAAATCCTATTTGGGAAGCTAATGGGCCTATGGTACATGATTTCAACAGTTTTCTTACGGCTTTTCGTAGAACTTTTGACACAATGAAAAGGTCAAAGAATGCCGCGAGAGCATTAATGAGAATTAAACAGGGTTCTAGGTCTGTGGCTGATTATGCTATTCAGTTTCGCACTCTTGCTTCGCAGGTAGATTGGACCAACAATGGGTTAACTACTGCCTTTATGGAAGGTTTGTCAGATACGATATTGGATGAGGTAGCAGCTAAGGAGCTTCCTATTGCCTTAGAGGACCTTATCGATTACCTCATTGATATTGATAATAGAATTCGTGACAGGCTCTATACCAAGAACAGGAATAGATGTTTTGTTACACCCATTAACCCCAGAGTTAATATACCAGAGAGTGTTAAAGTGTCTGAGGAGGAACCTATGCAATTAGGGGTTGACAAACTCTCTGATACTGAGAAATTACATAGGAGAAGGGAGGGACTCTGCCTATACTGTGGTAGGAGAGACCATATGGTAAAGGAATGTCCTTTACTCCCGGAAAACTCTCGCACCTAAGACCTTATAGGGGACTGGCCTTGGGTGTGATATCTAAGTCTCCTAAATTGCCTCCTAACCGCTTGCTTCTCCCGGTTTCTTTATATATGGGAGAGATTTGTATAGTTGACAACATATATGCTCTGGTTGACTCTGGGGCAGCTGAAAATTTTATAGACTCTGGCTTTATAAAGAGAAACAACATTCCCATCAGAGAGAAGGAGATACCCTTGGCCGTTGAGGCCATAGATGGTTGACTATTAAGTTCTCCAGTTGTTACTCATGAGACTGAACCACTACACATGTACACAGGGGTTTTACACTACGAAACCATTCGATTCCAGGTTATCACCTCTCCCTCTTCACAGTTAGTATTAGGGTATCCATGGTTACGTGCTCACAATCCTATTTTTGACTGGGAGACAGGGCAAATAAAATCATGGAGTAAGGCCTGCCACGAGTCTTGTACGTTGGAAGTCACACCTTTGAATTCTATTGAGGTACCTACCAGTCCTCCTTTGTCTATGGTTATACCCCCTCAGTATTTATCTCTAAAGACTGTTTTCGATAAAAGGGAGGCTGAGAAATTACCGCCTCACAGACCCTATGATTGCGCTATTGACTTGTTGCCTGGCACTATACCTCCAAAGGGCAGGGTGTACCCATTATCGGTTCAAGAAAACCGTGTCATGGAGGAGTACATCAAGGAATCATTAGAAAAAGGGTTTATTAGGAGATCCTCTTCTCCAGCTGGAGCAGGGTTCTTCTTTGTATCGAAGAAAGAAGGTGATTTAAGACCGTGTATAGATTATAGAGGTCTAAACAAAATCACTATCAAAAATGCATACCCTATACCTTTGATTACAGAATTATTTGACAGGCTGAAACATGCCACTGTGTTCACTAAATTAGACCTTAGGAATGCATACAATTTGATACGTATAAAGGAAAATCACGAATGGAAGACTGCATTCAACACTAGATCCGGTCATTACGAATACACTGTTATGCCATTTGGGCTTTGCAATGCCCCAGCAGTATTCCAAGAATTTATTAATGATGTATTGAGAGATTTTATTCACACATTTGTTATCGTATACTTGGACGACATTTTAATATATTCTGCAGATATACACACTCATCACAGACATGTTACGACAGTTTTGAAGACCCTTCTTGCTAATGGTCTTTATTGCAAGCTAGAAAAATGTCTGTTTGACCAAACCAAAGTCCAGTTCTTGGGGTATTTGATTTCCGCTAAAGGTTTTCGTATGGATCCCCAGAAGCTAGCTGCTGTAATAGAATGGCCTCTACCGCAAGGTCTGAAAGCTATTCAGCGTTTTCTTGGGTTCTCCAATTATTATAGGCGTTTTATCAAAGGTTTCTCGTCCATTGTAGCACCTATCACTCGTATGACTAAAAAGGATGGCAATACTCGTGTTTGGTCTACCGAGGCACTTCAGGCTTTTGAATTTCTTAAAACTACGTTCGCCTCTGCACCTATTTTACAGCATCCTGTCCCCTCACTGCCCTATATTCTTGAAGTTGATGCTTCGGATATTGGGGTAGGTGCTGTCTTATCCCAAAGAGAGTCGCCTGAGAAGCCATTGCATCCATGCGGCTTCTTTTCTAAACAAATGTCCAAAGCAGAGAAAAATTATGATGTGGGTAATCGCGAACTCCTTGCTATTATTTTAGCACTTAAAGAGTGGAGACATTTGTTAGAAGGAACTAAGGATCCTATCCTCATTTTTACGGATCACAAGAACCTATCCTATCTTAGCGAAGCCAAAAGATTGTCTTCCAGGCAGGCTAGGTGGTCACTATTTTTGTCTCGTTTCAATTTTATTATCACCTATAGGCCAGGTGATCGCAACACTAAAGCAGACGCTCTGTCCAGACAGTTCGAAACTACTGACAAACAGGAGATTGATGCTACTCCTGTCATTCCCCCAGACAGGATAATAGCTACTACTATTTTGTCTATTTCCTCGTCCCTCTTGCAGGCCATACAAGCGAAACAAAGCATGGCACCTAGCGAGAGGCCTAATGATAAACTGTTCGTTGATGTTCCTGAGAGGCGGGATATTATGTCATTATATCATGATACTAAGACCGCTGGACATCCTGGTATTTCCAAAACGGTGTCAGCTGTTTCTCGGTATTTTTGGTGGGATTCCTTACGAAAGGATGTCACTGACTATATAAGTGCTTGTACTACTTGTGCCTGTATGAAATCCTCCCGTAGAGTTCCTTGTGGACTGTTGCATCCGTTACCCGTTCCCGAGAGACCTTGGTCTAACCTGTCCATGGATTTTATTGTTGAATTACCCCCTTCAAATGGTAACACAGTAATCCTGATGATAGTGGATCGGTTCTCCAAAATGGCTCACTTCGTGTCTCTTCACAAGTTGCCCACATCCAAGGAACTGGCTCATATCTTCGCTAGAGAAGTATTTCGATTACATGGGATTCCCGTATCTATTGTATCCGATAGGGGTAGCCAATTTATTTCCAGGTTCTGGAGGGCCTTTTGTTCAGAAATGGGTATTTCTCTCTCATTTTCTTCCGCTTATCATCCCCAGTGTAATGGGGCTGCTGAACGTGCCAACCAGTCTCTGGAGCAATACCTCCGTTGTTTTGTGTCTCACCATCAGGACAATTGGTCTGACCTGCTTCCTTGGGCTGAATTTGCTCGGAATAACGCCACTCATGATTCTTCCGGCAAGAGCCCTTTTTACGTTGTCTATGGCCTGCATCCCGTTGTTCTTCCGGCTGCATTCTCCTCACGGGGCATGCCAGTTCTGGATGAGCATTTGGCTGGTTTGCGTAATACTTGGGAGCAGGTTCAGCGTTCTTTGGTGGACTCTGCTACTCGCCAGAAGGCTCAGGCTGACAAGCATCGCAGAGCAGCTCCGTCCTATGTTGTGGGGGACAGGGTTTTGCTTTCCACGCGGAATATTCGTCTCCGGGTGCCTTCTATGAAATTGGCTCCCCGCTTCATTGGACCTTATCGTATTATACATAAGGTTAATCCTGTTTCTTATGCCTTAGGCCTGCCTAAGAATCTACGTATTCCTAATGTTTTTCACACCTCATTGTTGAAACCTTTCGTACGCAACCGCTATACCCGGCATACTCCTCCTCCCCCTCCTATCTCGGTAGAGGGTCATGAGGAGTTTGAAGTGTCTGCTGTTCTTGACTCTCGTTTCCTTAGGGGTCGACTTCAATACTTGGTACATTGGAAGGGTTATGGGCCTGAGGAGCACAGTTGGATTTCGGCCGATGCTGTCCATGCTCCCTGTCTTGTGCGCTCTTTCCATTCACGTTTTCCTGCCAGGCCTGGTCCTACCCGCCCGGGGGGCGTGTCCTCAGGGGGGGGTACTGTAGCGTTACTTACCTTAACCGGGGGCCGGTCGCGGTCCTCTCTTCAAGCCGCGCGCGGTCCTGCGGCTGCACGAGCCGCGCGCGGCTCATCCAACTACTTCGGATGGAGGGCGGGCAGTGACCGCGTGAGGCGGTCACGTGTCCCGCCTGAAACTAAGAGCGCGCCGCGAGTCTCGGGCGCGCTCTTAAAGGGACAGTGGGTGCCTAAATTGGAAAAGGCATCCCATTGGTCCCTGTCATACCACACTCCCCATACACTTACCTTTTGGGGGCGTGGATGTGACAGGGACCAATCAAATTAGATGTTTAGGTATTTATACTCACCTTCTTCCCTTTGTTCCTTGCCCTATCGTGGTTTCTGTTTCAGTTCCCTTTAGCGCTTGTGGTGTTCAGTTGTGTTTTTTCGTATTGACTTTGGCTTCGTATTCTGACTTCGTTTTCGCTTTATCCTTATCTGTACTGTTTGCCGGCTTGCTGTTTTCCGTGTACCAGACCCCGGCTTGTCCTAGTTTACGCTGTCTCTCTGTGCCCTTGACCTCGGTTTGTTCCTGGCTCTGTCTTCTCTCATATACGTCAAGTCCGGCCATTCTAAGGTCCGGTAGACGTATCTCTCCTCTGTATTTGCCTCTGTTTAGCTGGATCCTGCGTGTAGGGGTATATTCTCGTTACAACTAGGAGATTGTGGTCTGCTTCCACATTCCAAAAGCAGCACAAATTCTAAAAGGGTTTCTTTAACCAAATTGGATTTTAATGTCAGTAGAACTATATAGATCAGATTGTCAAAGTTAATGCACTTTACATGGATTTTCCTATAGCCTTTAATATACATTATTGTGGAAAGAAAAAACAAACAAAAAAACGTGGACGAGTTCCTCTGCAGCTCCTGACAAACAGAGCTAATATCAAGCATTTAATGCTATTATACAATAAAAAGTATGCACAACGTGGAAGTGAATGTAATGCACTAGCTCAAAATACACCTGTAAAGTGGTATCCCCTACACCACTTAAAACATAGAATTATACATACATAAAACAAGTGGAGCTTTTAAATATCAGCAGGCTTTCTGTGAAAATAAAATACAAACAGAAAATAGTGCAATATGTCTGTAACACACTATATCGAAAATAGATTGGAAGATATGTCAAACTCACAAGCCTGGAGTCATACCCTCATATGACTCTGGTGGTATAAGCTTCTGGACCATTTGGGGGTTGTCCAGACCCTTCTTTGGCAGCGTGTTAAATGTTGATTGGTTCCTTTTGTGCCCTTCCAACTTGTTTCAAAATAGGGATAAATACCCAGTGTGTCAGGGTTCTTTAAAAAACAATTTATTCCAAAAAATTGTACAAACAAGATATATATAGTAAAAAAGAATACTTATCCCAGATAGTACTGGGTAGACTTAATAGTCCCAAGTTCAAAGTGATAGTCCAAAACGCGTTTCGCCTTTTCATAAGGCTTCCTCAGTTGGCTGTTCTATTTTCCGTCTGTTCTAGTGGCTTTTTAAATGCCTCGTTTGCCGGTTTCACTAATTCCGTCTTTTACTTCCGGGTTTCGTCACTTCCGGTTTGCGTCTTTTTGGAACGCACCGTGCGTTCCAACATCAGTTTCGTCATCGGACTTCCTTGTGTGTATAATTCAACAAGCTTTATTGGCATAACGAAGTGTCCCATGCATGCGAAATGTTTACATAGGGACCACTAAGCAGAAAAGAGTGCATGTCTGCATAAAGTTCGTGCAGTGTGGGCTCATACATATAATATAATAATAAAAGTGAATGGTAAAAGGTGATTCTTAGTATTATACAGTAAGTGAACAATCTGGATAGACTAAAAGTTAAATACATAAAAAAGGGGAGGTAAAAACATAATGGATACTAAAATCCTCATAAAAGAAGAGTATACTAAAAATGCATATTAATTCATAAAGTGGCATAATTCAAAATCTTTGTTTAATCCATACGGTATCATGGTATTAAAATTAAAAATAAATTTCATTTCTTCCTTCCCTATCTTCCTAATATAGTCCCCTCCTCTCCAATCTTTTGCTACTTGCTTAATTGCACTAAAAAACATTCCTCCAGGGTTTTTTTGGTGTGCAATTCTGAAGTGATTGGAGACACTGTGTGACTCCACTCCATTTTTGATGTTTCTTATATGTTCCGCCACTCTAATGTTAAGGCTTCGAATTGTGCGACCTATGTAAAGGAGGTTGCAAGGACATTTTAGAACGTAAATTACTCCTTTGGAGTGGCAGGTAAGGTGATCTTTTATTGTGAATTTCCTATTGATAAAGGGTTCTAGATCTGTTATATGTCTTTTTTTGTTCTTAGTATTCTTGCATGCTAGACATTGTCCGCATCCATAGAATCCTTTGTCGATTGAAAATAAATTTTTCTTTATTTTTGTTTCTCTATTGCAACTTTGTACTAGGGAATTTTTAAGATTCTTGGCTCCCCTAAAAATTATTTTTGGTTTGTCGGGCAGAATATTTTTGAGAACTGGATCATCTCGTAGGATATGCCAATGCTTGTTTATAATTTTGTTAATTTTCTTGTTGTTGCCGTTAAAATTACATATGAAAGGAATGTTATTGTTACTCCATTTAGAGTCTTTCTTTTTGTTTTTGTATACCAGAAGTTCCTTTCTCGGTATTTGTAAAACATTTTCTAAGGCTGCCTGTAATGAAGATTCCTCGTAGCCTTTATGTAAAAATTGAATTTTGATCTTATTAGCTTGTCTTAAGTAATCTTGGTCACTCGAACAGTTCCTCCTAATTCTTAGGAACTGTCCTCTGGGTGCATTGGTTAACCAAGGAGAGTGGTGGCAACTTTCTTTGCGAATGTAGCCATTTGCATCAACTTCTTTAAAATAATTTCTGGTTGCAATCTTCATGTCTGTTATGTGGATATCTAGATCTAAGAAATTAATGTGTTGTGTGTTGATCTGTGCAGTCAGAATTAAGTTCCATTCATTGGCATTTAGATAGGAGATGAAGGAGTTTAGGTCCGTAGCATTCCCTAGTCCAGGGACTATATTAGGAAGATAGGGAAGGAAGAAATGAAATTTATTTTTAATTTTAATACCATGATACCGTATGGATTAAACAAAGATTTTGAATTATGCCACTTTATGAATTAATATGCATTTTTAGTATACTCTTCTTTTATGAGGATTTTAGTATCCATTATGTTTTTACCTCCCCTTTTTTATGTATTTAACTTTTAGTCTATCCAGATTGTTCACTTACTGTATAATACTAAGAATCACCTTTTACCATTCACTTTTTATATGTATGAGCCCACACTGCACGAACTTTATGCAGACATGCACTCTTTTCTGCTTAGTGGTCCCTATGTAAACATTTCGCATGCATGGGACACTTCCTTATGCCAATAAAGCTGGTTGAATTATACACACAAGGAAGTCCGATGACGAAACTGATGTTGGAACGCACGGTGCGTTCCAAAAAGACGCAAACCGGAAGTGACGAAACCCGGAAGTAAAAGACGGAATTAGTGAAACCGGCAAACGAGGCATTTAAAAAGCCACTAGAACAGACGGAAAATAGAACAGCCAACTGAGGAAGCCTTATGAAAAGGCGAAACGCGTTTTGGACTATCACTTTGAACTTGGGACTATTAAGTCTACCCAGTACTATCTGGGATAAGTATTCTTTTTTACTATATATATCTTGTTTGTACAATTTTTTGGAATAAATTGTTTTTTAAAGAACCCTGACACACTGGGTATTTATCCCTATTTTTTGAAACCAGTTGGAAGGGTACAAAAGGAACCACTCAACATCTAACACGCTGCCAAAGAAGGGTCTGGACAACCCCCAAATGGTCCAGAAGCTTATACCACCAGAGTCATATGAGTGTATGACTCCAGGCTTGTGAGTTTGACATATCTTCCAATCTATTTTCGATATAGTGTGTTACAGACATATTGCACTATTTTCTGTTTGTATTTTATTTTCACAGAAAGCCTGCTGATATTTAAAAGCTCCACTTGTTTTATGTATGTATAATTTAATGCTATTACACTGGCTACCATCCAGAACAGGTATAGGCAACCGTCGGCACTCCAGATGTGGACTACATCCCCCACAATGCTCTTACATCCATAATGCTGGCAAAGCATTATGGGAGGTGTAGTCCAAAACATCTGGAGTGCTGAAGGTTCCCTATGCCTGATCTAGAACAACTTAAGTGTGAACCCAAGCATTCTGCAGAGCAGTAATCCCATCAGATACATGTTTCTCTCCAAGGGTGGGGGCCCCCATGGAGTTACCCAGAGGGAAGGCACAATCCCAGAGAACCTGCGGGCCCAAGATCCTGCCATCCAAGAAAGGGACATAAGGTGGTGGCTCCCATCATGCCTGAGGACAAAAACATGCAGAGCTGAGGCATAGCATTTGAAGCTACAACCGACAGCAGGGCATCAAGCACAATCTACACTGTCTGATAACAGGGAGTGGGGACAATAACACTGGCACTAGCTTATGTTGAGAGCTTTGTTTAAATTGTGAGCCTTTTGTTATTTTTTGCCTGTGCTCTATACCTTTCGGTTTAGAGACCCGGTGGTTACATAATCTGTTCTATAAGCATTAAATAGGCTCTTATTACTACATTTGTTGTTTCTCTCTCCTCTCCGTTATTTTATTTTATGACCCAGTGTCACATAAGCATAACCACCCTAGTTTTATGACTAACATGATCCTTTAATAAGCACAACCTGCATGGTTTTGTCATTTTCCATCGGCTTTACTGCATGTATTTATACCATACGCGTTGTATTGTTAGTGCATATCTTGTGAAATACTGTTTACACACAAAAAAAAAACAAAACAAACCCCACAAAGATGTAAAGGTTAAAGGATTACTCAACATCCATGACCACTTCTGCATGTGCTGTGCTTCTGCTTTAAACACAGCACATACAGAAATATTTGCAATTTTGTGCCAGATGTTAGTTATACCCATGGCACACATACTTTGAAATTCTGGAACTCTATTCTGTCAAATATCAATTCTGTGCAAAATTTACATCTGTCATCAGCGCACATTGCATACTGGCAACCGTCAATCCCAGACATTCCCCTTGCAGGCTTATGCCTGCCACCCACCCCCTTCACTGCAGCTCTCCAGTCTCCCTATACTGCCCAAGTAATTATTCTTATAATTTAAAAAAAAAAAAAAGGTACCTCCATCTACTGTCAAGCGAATCCTATAATTGTAACTTGCAACATCTGCTGTGATGTCAGATGGGGGGCGTTCTGAGCATTGCCATGAGTTCTGACATGTGCTGGATTTCAGGCAAGTTAAACTTTCTTTTCCTTTTTTTAGTTATTTTAGCTATGATATGGAGAGGGTGGGAGGTGAGGGCCCTAAAAAAATAATTCATGCATTATTTGTTTATAGAAAAGTCATGTAAGAAGAGTTAGAGTAACCCTTTAAGGTGATACTACCAGTAAAGGTGGTATTAATTCCCAATATGAAAACATTTTTGCTTCTACATAAATAAAAATGTAATACCCTAAATGTAAATTTGTTTGTAAAAATTTGTTTTAATCCCTCAATGACAGAGGAAATTGTACACATTCTGAGCTGGAATTTGAGCTATAGGTCTGTTAATCAGCCATAGTTTACCTATTTCATATATAATAAGTGTAGGTACACTTCACTGTTTGTTCAGGAGGAAAAGGGCTTTCATATCACATGAAATATTTAGATTTGAAACAATTTAATATGAATAAAATCAAAAAAGTTTGAGAAATTAAGAAATTTTATTTTTCAAGTTCTGTATGACATTCTAACTGTGAATGTCATAATACTGTTAGTTTAAAATACACATATTTGTGTTCAGTGAGATCTCACAAGTACAACAGTACCCACATGTACAGGTTTTATGGGATTTTGTAACGTTTCAGGGTCAAATATAGGGCTTGCCCATTTTCAGTTTATACACATAGAAATTTGCCAGATTGGTTGGCTGGGCCTACGTTACCTTTGGACTGTATGGCAGCCGAGGAATGAAAATGAACTTCATCATGGCATACAATTTGCAAAAGTAGGCAACCCAGGATATCCAAAATGGTGTATGTCCAGTCTTTTTTAGTAGCCACTTACCTGGCCAGTTAGTGTTCATATTTGTTGGTTTTATTTTTGCAGTTTTCACAGAAAAACTGCCCTCTCACAGATTCCATCACTAGCATTATACATTTTACTTCTCTAAAACACTATTTTTTGTGTTCAGTGATGTCTCATGAGTACAGGTGTATGGAGTTATGGAAATTTACAGGGTTAAATAAGAGCTTTCAATTAAATTCTGTTGACTTTCTGCCTGGGTTGTCAGGCAGTTCCATCAAATTGTAATTAATAAAAATCACATAATTATGTAAAAATGTATACATAATTATACACGTAGAATTAAAATATATACAAAATTGAATTCAACATGTATTTTGAGATTATATCGATCATAATTATTATTTTTTTTTGCACTCTTCTGCCCTTTATTTTCAGCTCTGGGGGATTGACTGACAACCCAGGTAGTTCGAAAGCCGGCTACTGTGGCTATGTGATTGCGATGCCCCCCCCTCCAAAATCAACGCAGGTTGCTGGCGAAGGTAAGTATATGCCACCCTGATGGCACATAAGCCGACTTTGTTAAAGGGTTAAAGACAGATATTATGGAACTGTAAAAAAAATAATTTAAAACAGTCAAAACATGAAATTCTCCACAGGAGCCATTTCATTTGTGCTCAGTAATAATCTTGACAAACCATATTAAAAAAGATACCAGAATATTGCAGTGTGCACAGATACTTTTTTTAATTGAATACTTGAAAGACAAGCTTTTAAGAGTTTTCCTTTCTTCCTCAGGTCTAAATCGGTCATATAATTTTAGTTTCAAAAATGATTTTACCTTTTTAGGGGGCACAGCTACTTTTGGATCAATAGCAGAAACAGATGTGTGAAAATTTGCACTTTATGGGCTTCTGAGGCATATATATATATATATATATATATATATATTCACCAACTTTTCTGGATTTTTTTTCACATTTTTTACAGTTGTGTTTTTTTTGTATAACATTGCCCTCACAGACATATTTAAACAAACAAAAAAAAAACATCTAGGTATTTTTGTAAGAAAGAAGAGAAGCTACAACACATAAGCCATGTCCTAAATTACCTCTAAATAGCTCTGTCCACAGCAAGGTCTGAGCTGCTCTGTCAGTTACAGATTTCAAATCGGTTGCTTCTTCTCTGGCATTGACATATTCTGTGGAGACAAAAAACAAATAATGTAAGATTTCAGAGTTTGTTAAGGAACAAATAAAAAGTAATAAAGCCTTACAGAATCCCCCGTTATACTAATAAGTAAAGGATAAATATATGTTAGACTAATACTGTAAGTAGAAGATGAGCAATTCTTCCATGCTTTCACAGTAACAGACAGAAGACATTCCTAAAGCTTTTGTTTGGATTATTAAGTGTTCTTGCATAGCAAGACCACTTACTATTATCTCATATATATTATTATTATAGCCAAATTTACCACCCTAACTCCTCCCACAGTTTTTACACTACATAGACAGAAATATACCAAAACGTGTGGATTGTTCCCGATCGGATTGCTATTACTTTGTGGAACGTTTCGCCGAATGGTTCACGGAATATTGTCATTCTTGTGGTGAAACTGGTCCTATAGGAATGAATGGCAAAACATTCAAAACTAGAGTGGGAGCTGGCAAAAGCAAAAAAATCAGGACATGATTTCTAAACTGCCACCACTCCCTCATTTTCAAGCCCACCTACACAACTCTTATATCAAATGTTCAGCTATCCCTGATGTCCACGGCTAAGCCATAGTCCTGATAGTTTTCACAATATGACCATTTGTTTGCAACTCACGCCGTCCATTGACATTCATTGAAACTCCACTCCAGCCAGCTTAAATTTGAAGGGCAATTTCTAAACTGCGACTGTGCCTTCATTTTTAAATACTTCAGAGACATACTATGCATCTAAAATGTAGGTCTGGGTCTTGTGATTCTCACAATATAAAGCTCGTCGCTGTAGGATGTATAGTTTTTAAAATACGACCGTTTGAAGGTGGCAACCGCCAAAATACTCTGACCTATGCCAGGCTGGAGCAGCAAGTGATGTCATACACCTTTTGTACACCTGCTAATGTTTTTTATAAATGTATGTTTTAATGTAACTGTGAAGCACTTTGGGCAACAACGTTGCAATTAAATGTGCTATATAAATAAATAACAGTTACTCCGCCCACTCCAGTTGTAGACTACTGGTGGAGGCAAGAACACTTCACACAATTTCCCCAGAAATTGTAGCTTTTCTAGTATTATTACTATTATTTAGGGTATTTTTTGAAAACTGACAAGCTTAAACAGAAAATATATACAAAAAACAATCACAGTGAAAATGTTAGAATAATGTATGAGATAGTGCCTTAAAGACTTCATGTTGTCTTCCAAAACAAGTATCTACAACAAATAGGGATAACTCTGTTAAAGAGACAGAATGCAAGACAACATAGCCTCTGTGTAAATTGGATGCCTGCCATCAACTCAGAAAGAAGAAATTGCAAAATTGAAATGCAAATAAAAAGTGTAGCTTTAAACCCATTTATTAACTTACATGAAAGTTAAAAACAGAAAGTGTAGTTCACAAAAGTCACCAGTGGAAGAAGAAGAAGACTGTGTCCCATTGACTCCTTCATCCTCCAGTTGAATGTTAGCTTCAATTCTCTAGGTTTTCCGGGTTTCAATAGGTTTATAAGGACACTCGAGGGAAGGGGGTTGTGTATTTATTGTTTGATCCTACCAGCATGTGAATGGTCCCTGGGGGAAGTGTTTTAAAGGTACACTTTTTATTTGCATTTTAATTTTGCAATTTCTTCTCTCTGAGTTGATGGCATCTTACCACTGAGAGTGTATATTGGTCTGGACATCAGAAGATCAATCCATTCAACGGGATTTTTCTTAAAGACATTATTTTCATAAATCAAGTGTGAATGACCAATTGGAATATAACATTTCCATCACTTCTCATATACAGCTATACACTATTATTTTGCATTCTGTTTCCAGAATTCCCCCAATGTGTTAAATAAACTTATAAAGAAAACCTTAAAAAAGGAACACTCCATGCACCATAACCATTACAGCGATGTGGTGGTTATAGTGCCAGCAGTTTCCTGGTGACCTCGGAGTAAGCAGTCAAACTGAAAAAATAAGAATCGCACAGGTTAGAACCCCCAAATTAGAAAAAAAAAAAAAAAAGACAGCATGAAGCCTGTTTATAGAACAATGTTACCACTCCCAAAGCCAGTCCCAAAATTGTACTTGACTTTTCAGGCCTACTTGGGAATTTCTTCCTTTAATCCCATTTCCTCATGCAGTACATACACAGGGCCCTCACGTCTCTTAAACTGCATCTCTGCCTCCAAAAGCTTAGTCGAACCTCACAACATTCTGGGGCTGGTGAATTTAGGAGACGAGGCTTATGTCACAAACCCTCCCTCTCCCACTTGCTAGACTCCAGGCAACAACCTTGCAAACTTCGGTCCTCACTTCACACACCAAGATCCATGCAATACTGAATCTATTTTCTTTAGGCACCCACCCAGTTTCCTGTTACATTTATAGCATGCTCCTCTAGATGTTTGAGATCTTACTTTATTATCTCCTCATTCCCTTTATATTTTACCAGTAGTTGCAACACTTTTCACTTCCTTTTGCTATCACTTTTAAATTCTTCGATATCTCTGGTCTCAAATCCCCATCACACCCTGTAGATTATAAGCTCACAGGCCAACTAAGCACTTTGTATAAAACAGCTTCAATGGCAATATCGCAGCGCACGAGCTGGGCGCTTGTTAATTTTTGTGTTCATCTGTGTATATTATACAGTGCCGCAAAATTTGTTGGCACTTTATAGATGAAAGCCATAAATTAATTCAACAAACACTGTGTCGGTCTGTTTGCGTGTTATTCTTCTATATGTGTCACTATATCTATGCGTGAGTGGGGCGATGCAGCTGGAGGAGCTTACAGACATCTGGCCAGAAGTAGTGAGAGAGGTCTGTGCAGAAAAAATAAAAAAAAAATTATACACACACACACATATATCAGGAAACAGTGAATTATAGAAAAACTATTCCATCTTGGGGTTCTGGATGTATTCAACACAATACCCTTCACACTAATTATATATATATATTCACACACATACATACACACACACACACACACACTCACTCTCTCTACCCCCCTACAAACACACCCCTGTAAGGACGCACACATGCACAACATATATAGACACCTTCTGCCCAGATGAAGACCAGCATATGCACACTAACCATTGTAACAAAATGCCACATAGCAAAACCCTTGCTATGGCAAATAATGTTTATGCTGAGAGTAGGGCTATGAATGACCAAAAAAAAAAAAGTCTCCATGAGGCAGACAAACCGGCAGCATACTGACCATGTTTGGAAAAAGCTAATCATCCCAACAGTCTGTAACATTATATAAATGCTTCTCATGATAATAAAGTAAAAATGTAGGTTTTCTATGTCCGACTTACAAACATAGATTACTTACTAAATGAGAGCAATTGAGGCGTAAGGCTGATCGGTCTAGCTGGCACCTTATAATAGAAGGAACCTGAAAAAAATAAAAAAAAAAGCAAGAATAAAGAAGTTTCTACTTACTGTAAATTAGTGACAGTACACATGGGTTATCATTATCCTATGTGGACAGATAAACTCCTATAGAAAAACGTTATAAGGTTAATCACTCTCCTGACATTCAGCGTCCCGACACTTTGCAGGGAGAATGTAAAAGCTCCATATAAAAGGTGGGGGAGGAGGTGGAGTGCGAAGTGTGTCACTGAGAGGCAGGCCGTGATTGGATGAACTTCGGAACACGGAGGTTAACCACAAAAAAATAAAAAAAAATAAAAAAATTAAAAAAATAAAAATAAATTTAAAAAAAAAAAATCGCTATCTGCTTGCTTTTCAGGCTCAGTTGTGGGTAACTTGCAGGCAATACCCACCACAATTTAAGTAAGAGTTTTTAACCTTTTTTATTGTAATAAAGATTTGGATATTGTTCAAACCACCTCTTCAGAGAATTCCATATCCTTACTGCTCTTACTGTAAGAAAACCTTTTCTTTGCCTTAGATCAGGGGTGGGCAATTGTTTTGGCTCGGGGGCCACTTCGTGGGAGCAGAGGGCCGCACCTTTTAAAATGATTGCATTCATTCGTTAACTTTGCATTTCAGGTATAAATTGTATCATAAAAATTAAAAAAATATAAATTAAATAAAATAGTGGTAGTTTTATTCAATTTATTTATTGTGCTAATTTCATATCATCTATTGCTGCAAGCACATTTAATTTTAGGATCAGTTTAATGAGACAAATGTACCCTATCACACTTTTCTACAATTTTTTTGAAATCAGGAGTGAGGTTGCTTGTTGAGATTCTCATCACAGCCTGCAAGTTAATGTCTGTCAAAGAGCATCTATATTTACTCTTGTTGATCTTCATGCAAGAAAAAAAAAAAAAACCACTTTGCTCGCAAATATATGTAAGCCCAAATATAGAGAACATTGTCCCAGCAAATTTCTTCAGACATTGACATTTTTCAGCAGGGGAGAGAGTTGATGGTGAGAAGGGAGGAGGAAGGAGTTGATGGTGAGGAGTTGACAGTGGGATTTGATGGTGGGGGGGGAGGAATTGACGGCGTCGGGGGGTTGACGGTGAGGGGAGTGAGTATAATGTTATATCCTCTCTGACGCGCCGTTTTTCCAAACTAAAAAGAGATTTTTTTTTTACCTTTCTTCGTAACTAAAATGCTCCACTTTTTCTAGTGCCATGATATCCTTCTTTAAAACAGGTGCTTAAAATTGCACAGCATATTCAAGGTGTGGTCTTACCAGCAATTTATAAAGACGTAAAATAAACTGTACTTTTTAAATCCAGAGCCTGAGGTGTTTAGGCTCCTGTAAATATGGATTAATCGCTGACATTCACTGCGCTTTATATTTTATTTACAAGTTTAAACCAGATGATCTGCACTGTTTTATTTTATTATCTGCAGAACAACATTTGAAGATTCTGTGTTATACATAATTTAAGCACGCAGTTTAGAGTTATTTGAATGTTTACTTGCAAGTCTTTTCTTGCTTTTAAAACCCCCCCCCAAAAAAAAACCAAACAAATCATTTGTGTAAGGAACCTACACAACTCCCTGCTTTCTTACATCTGCTATAGGGGTGAGAATTTTTGTGAAAATTCTTGGAGCCGAACGGCAGAGCCCTGAACTGGAAATGTTAACTTATTTTGCTTTGCAAATCTGATGTATCCACTTGAACATCTGCCCATTGGTACATGTACATCCTTTAGCTCTAATGTAGCCATGAACTCCTTGCTCTATAGCATAAAAGTTTGATATTTCTAGCTGACAACTTGATTGATTCTATTGTAATTTCTGCAACAAATTCATTGGCCAGTCTTAGGTTTTCTTAATATCCTTAATGGATCAACTGCTGAATCCCTGGCAAGGCAATCTTACATTTCCTGGAGCTTAATGCTTCATTAACTGTGGCTCCAGTAAAAAGAGCCGTGCTCTAGTATGCTGCAGACTGAAATTTTCCTGCAAGATGTTTCCACTCTCTTATTCATCGGGTCTTTTAGACCTGCCAATTCTCCAATGCTTTTCCTGGTTAGTTGGGCAATTGGGTAACACTTCCAATTCTTCTATTTAAACAGGAGTTTAAACTTTTTTTAAATAAATGCTATTTTTTCCCCTTGAACTTATCAATGAATTAGAAACCTTATCCTTTCTTGTCCTTTATCCTGACCCCTCCATAGATCTGCAAACTTAATTTATTAATTTGTGCTACTAGAAAATATGGTTTTCATGTCAGATTCATGATGGTTTTGAGGAATCTGTGCCTATAAAGCACTCTCCTGAAGATAAATCTAAAGGAGACGGAAACCATGTCTTTTTTTCCCTTGGCACAGCAATCAAGTTTTTTTGTAACACTGTTTCTTTTATCTCAGTAAAGGTTTTCTGTAGATTTAACTGAAACCATCATAAGAAGGAACTTATTCTGCACATGGCATATGCTTAGATTTGGGAGTTGTTATTAACTGCTCTGCAGGAGGAGTGCTACTCTTATCACTTTTATCTGTAGCTACAGAACTAGACATCTGAAAATGTAAATCACAAACAAGAAATCTGATTATTCGAGTTTTTAAAAGAACTTAAGCTCATCTTTAGAGACCTCAGAATGTGTCGGAGAGATGGTGGAAACAGCTCTCTTTTCAGCCTATGTAACTAGAACTAAAAACAGCACTTTAATATGATACTACCTTTTAAATTTGGAGCCTAGAGTGTCTCTCTGCATACGCAAGCACCATAGCACAACAAAAGAAGCTGTGGAATGCAAACATTTCCTGAGCATCCATTCCATCCTCTGTGAGCAGGCCATGTACCTGGGTTAGCGCTTGCTGAATTGGGACGCCCCACTAACGTGCATAACAAATAAATGGTACATCCATTCTGTAACCTAATCCAACACCCAGTTGGACTGAAACAGCGTGTTATTGCCAACCAATCAGTCCTGCAGCCTTTCCTCTCCTTCAGCAACCCATACTGCACCACCTCGAAGATGACCTTCTTTACCTGCTCGTCCCACATGCAGGGCAACTAGGAACTGACCGTTCCCAGAATTGTGGAGGTATTTAAGGGATCAGGGGAGATATTAACGTTATAAAGTTTTTCTACAGAAGATTACATAACCAATGTATCCTGTCGCTCTACTATAGGAAAAATGTATTATGTATGTGTGTAATATATAGTATGACATTTTGAAACAATGTTCAAACATTTGTATGTAGTGTAAAAATATTAAAAGAAAAATAAATAATGCTAAAAATATCCATTTGTTTGTATTCATTATTTCTTTTGGACACTTACAGCCTGCTTAGCAACCAAGACAAATGAGTACGACGCTAATGTAAGCACAAAAATAATAGGTTTGTATCATATTCCATTATGTTTATAGACACACTTGGAAACCCTGACTAACTCCTCCTTTTCACCCTCCCTGTCATAAGTTCATATTTATAGAGTTCTACAATAAACTTTCCAAATGATTCAATACTGTTAGAAAAACTAATGATTTATCTACATAAGTCAACACAGTGGCGAATCCAGGTGGGGGCAACGGGGCAATTGCCCCCAGATAGACGTGCAGCACGATGAGAGGGCTTTCGATTGTCCTGCTTTGCTGCTTTTACATCGGCAGCCCCAGTCTCCGCCCCCTGTATAGGCCCCATCCCCGCACAGATCCTTACCTCAGCGGCTGCTGGAAGGAACTGTCTGTCTGTAGAGCAGCACATCTCCCACTGGACCAACAGGGAACAGGATTCCCCCCCTCCCTTACCCAAGGTAAGCCTCAGGGAGGGGGGAATACACTTTTTTTTTTTCCTTCAGCCTCCCAAGTGCAGCCCCTATGCCCAAATTCACCCCCTTACCATCCACTAGAGCCCCTAACCTCCCAAACTAAAGCCCCTAACACCCCTTGTAATGCCCCTTACTACACTCCTAACCACCCCAATACAGTCCCTAACACACCTAATTCCCTTTACTCCTTACTACACCCTTAACCCCCACTACAGCCCATAACCTTGCTTACTAAAGCCCCTTACTACATCCCTAAACCCAGATTAAAGCCCCTAACCCCTTACTCCTGCCCCTAACCCGCTACTAAAGCCCTTACTACAGACCCTAACCTCCTCTACTAAAATCCCTAACACCCCCAACTAAAGCCCTTTACTCCAGCCCCTTACATTTTACTGCAGTCCCTATGCCCTACAGCCCTAAGCCCTTTACTACAGCCCTAAGCCCTTTACTACAGCCCTTTTAACCAAACAGCAGCCCCTATTCCCACTGCTGCTTTTATCCCCTATGGCACCCCCTACCCCCATTACAGTCCATACTCTCCAAATGTAGCTTCTATCCCCACTACAGTCCCTACCCTACAAATGTAGCTTTTATTCCTTACTACAGTCCCTACCTTCCAAATGTAGCTCCTATCCCCCACTACAGTTCCTAATTCCGTAATACAGCTCCTACCCCCCCCCACTACACTCCCATTACCCCACGACAGCCCCTTACACTTTTACTACTGTCCCTAACCCTTCTACCACAGTCCCTTACTCCTCACTGCAGCCCCTATCCCACACTACAGTCCCTACCCCCTATATGCAGCCCATATCCACCCACCCTGCAGCCCCATTCATCCCAACTTCAGCCCATATCACCTCACTACAACCCCTATTCCCTTACTACAATTGCAACCCCCCACTACAGCCCCTCTCACCCAATTTCAGCCCATATCCCCAATTGCATCCATTCCCCCCATTACAACCACTGTCCCCCTACTACATTTCCTAACCCCCCATTTACAGTCCCTAACCCTCCCACCACAGTCCCTATCCCCCACTACAGCCTCTGTCCCCCAATAGAGCTCCTAGCCCCTAATTCCTCAATTACAGCTGCTGTTTCCCCATTACAGCCCCTATCACCTCACTACTGCCAACTACCAGTGCCCCTCCCGAGATTAGGCTCTGGATCCACCCCTGAGTCAACATTAAAGTTTATGCATATATTTGTAGATAAATCATTAGGAAAGTTTTTCTAACAGTATGAATCATTTAACTTTTTTAGCTTATTAAATTGAGATAGATATAGGTAGATATCTATATCGGCTCAACAAAGAGAGAGATAGATATCGGCTCAACAAAGGTTATCAGACAACCATAATAAACACTTTGAGTCAATAACGTAGTGAAGTTTACTTCCAGTTTTCCAAGATGTAGTAAAACTTTAGCAGCTGTAGTCAGAAATTATTATTAAATTGTATGTTCAATTAATGCATTGTGTTAATGTATAATTCAGTGTATATTCTATATTGTATAAAGGATTACTACATGCCAGGAGTACTGGGCCCAGGTACCAGTTATGGGGCAAATCGTTTAGCAATGGTTTGCCCACTTACCTGGGTCCCCACCAGGCTCACAAGGTCACTGCTTTCGGCTTTTAAAAACTGAAGTGGTCATGGTATTAATTGTGGGGGGGAAAAAAATGTAAACTTTGATGTAATGTTATTGCTAATGGAATAATATCACTTTATATCAGGGAAGAAAAAAAATAAAACAATTTTTTTTTTTTTTTTTTTTAAATAGGATTTTGTCCTTAACCTACACTAACAATAACCTTAACCCTACCTCAAAAGGAATTCCCTATGCCGAATTCAGCAGAGAATTTCGTGTCTCACACAGTACAGAGCATCTCGAAAAGCACACTCTCCTGTGTGATTGCAGAGATGGAGTTCTCCCGCTCATGCTGCAGCTCCAGCATGCTGCCCTGCCAATTACACAAAGAAAGGTGGTGGGTAGCTGGCAACGCTCAGTGGAGAGCACAGTCAGCAGGTAGGCATGCAGAAAGACATGGTCAGAGATAGACAGCTCATCTGTCAGTCTGGGGACACTAAATTTGCCCACAGATGACTAGGTATGGATTGATACTTAGGTCTCCCTGCTGTGTGCAGGAATTTAAAGGGTTATTCCAACAACAACAAAAAAGAAAAAAAATATATATATAAATAAAAAACTAGAGATAGAGGAGTGCAAATACAAATGTATATGGTATACTTAGAGACACTGGTCAGTCCTTCATATATAAAGTGCATAAAACAAAATAGCAGCACTAAATGTACAAAGACATCTATAAAGTGCATAAAAAAATAACACTAAGTGCTGCTATTTTGTTTTATGCACTTTATATATGTCCCTGTATATTATTAAATTTTGAAAAAGTATCCCCACTCTGTTTTGGAATTTTTATATCTCCTGTATCCTGATCCAAGTGGAGAATTCTGAAGGCGTGGTGGAGTTCAACACACCAGGGAATTATCAAAGAGCAACTATAGTCAGAGCCTACTATACGTGGCTCTGCAAAGTGTGAGTGAAAAATCCACATTTATTTACTATATTATTTGGAAAAACAGTATTATGCTATGTTTGGATCTTTTTGTATATAGGTTACATCTGAAGGACTGACCAGTGTCTCTAAGTATACCATATACATTTGTATTTGCACTCCTCTATCTCTATTTTTTACTTGTATGTTATCTGTGTTTTTTAAGTGGTTTTAAAACACTGTGGAGTTGCACTGTTACTTCTGCTACCACCCCCACACTTTGTGTGTTTTGCACGCTATTGTGTAAAATTTGTTTTATAAATAAAAAACTGCTTTACTGAAACATAATGCACATTAGCAAAGGGTAATTTCTGTATGCGGAGCGTTTCAAAGTGATAACCTGCAGACACAGATTCCAGACACCGTGGCCACTACATTTCAGTTAAACCATGCTCACACCAAAATGTTAGGCTGTTCCATATGGATGGTTGTAATGTCATTAAAGCAAACTCTGTGGAGGATGGCATGGAACATCCTGAAGGGGTTAAAGAAATAAGATTTACTTGCCTTTTGTCCTCCATGTTGGTCATTACAAATTATCTCAGCCAAATTAATGCTTCCCCATGGTGAAAAATTGGGAGGCTAGTGTGCATGTGTTAGCTTAGTGAATTTCTATAGAGAGAATTTGGCATCTTCATGCAGATGGTGATTGCAGGACCGTTTTAGGGAGCACCTTTAGGGGCTGTCACTCAGACAGGTAGCCTTAGAAAGCAATGTAAGCAGTGTTTGAATTGCTGAGACTGCACAAACAGTCTATTTGCCCTAGTACAACCACATTATTTTGTAGCAGTTTTGGTGCTTCAAGAGCATTTTAAACTGACGAACTACGCGAATGCCTTGCACGTGCATGCCTCATCCTTATTCTGCTCTACTGGGAACCAATGTGTTAGCGGAGAGAAAAGTAGTTATGATTTCAGCCAGGGGAGGAGCAGTGGCTGTGGTAAAATCAGCAAAGCGAGTTGTGTCATGTAGACCCCACATCAATACAGCAGTGACACCAACCTGATTGCTTGGCAGCATTATAAATCAGACGTGCACTTAACATCCTCTTGACTTCTGCAGAAATGGGGGGAAAGAAACAGATATTAAAGCCGTCCAAACATTCCATTATGCATATATTTACTGGCTGAAGTTATTTATAGAAAGGATACAGAATTGTGAAACATGTATTATGTGTTACTGAGGGGCTCTAGATTTTCATCTATGCACTCTTTACTATTATTTATCTTTAAGATTTGTTGTTATGGTTTGTGTGCTAGGGTTGGAGTTCTGGTGAACGGTTTTAATTGAAGGGACAATATTACTGTTAGGGCAGCGCAAGGAAATGTACGCATTAATGCTGCCCAAACAGTAATATTGTCCCTTTAACCAAGATTAGTGGAGGTTAAAGTCTTGGGCAGCTGGTAGTTCAGCTGCCACTATTAAAAGGACCACTCCACAGTTAAAGGGACACTATAGTCACCAAAACAACTAAAGCTTAATGTAGTTTTTCTGGTATCTATAGTCTGTCCCTGGAGACTTTTTAATGTAAACACTGCCTTTTCAGAGCAGCACTGACATTCGGCATCTCCACGCATCAGCATGGAGGCACTTAACGGTCCCCATTGAGATGCATTAAAATCAATCCAGCTCTATGAAGAAATGCTGGAAAAGGGGGAGTAAAATCCCCTTTTTAAATGCAGGTAAGGGAACTGAACACCGAAACGATGTACCAACGTATTTATTTATTTGTTATACCAAACTACTCTATCTTCTGAAGCCACCCGACCTTGACCTGTTTATGTTAAGCCCAGCCACTATAACGTGGCTACACCAACATCTCAAAATACTACATTTAGAATACTTGCTAAAATAGTATGCCATTATAGAGGTAGTTTTCTTTATTAGCCACGTTCACTCAAAAGCAACATAGGCCCAGAAAATAACTCACATTTACAAGATTGAAATAGGCATGTCATTTATGGCCCTATGACTACACCAAAAAAAAAAAATCAGTACATGGGGGTGCTATTATATTTGTGAGAAAATTGTTTTTTTTTGTAAATCTTTATTTAATATTGAGGAATAAGCACTGTATACAATCAAAATTGCATAATCCATTGCATTCATTTAAGAAGTCATACCAACAATCCTCTACATTTATATTTTAAATAAAACACACCCCCCCAAAAAAAAAAAAGTAGTTAGCTCAATATTTTCCTGTAATATAGTTGACACCTGATAGATATGGAGACGGACTTGATGAATCCAGACTCACCTGCATTGCATATGTGGCTAAACAAGGTTTCGAGGCCGGTCTTACAAACAACCTGTCCAGCAATTTTAACCCCTTAAGGACCGAGGACGGTTCAGGACCGTCATCGGCATTTTTGCCTTGCCGACCGATGACGGTCCTGAACCGTCCAAACCGTCGTTCCCCCGGCGGCGATCAGTGTTCCTCCGGTTGTGGGGAGACTGCCTGCAGCCCAGACAGTCTCCCCACGGCAGATTAGGACCCCTGTGGCCATGTGATCGCTTAACACAGCGATCACATGGTCACAATAGGTGTCCATGTGTCTGCCTGCAGGGGGACTGTCTGTGCTGACAGGCAGTCTCCCTGCAACTGTAAAATCAAAAAAAAAATTAAAGTTAATGGTAATAAAAAAAATAATAATAATTATATATGTATAAATATGATATATAGACATATATTATATCTATATAATATATGTCTATATATCATATATATAATACCATACTAAGTGTATTTTTATATTAATATGTACTTATATTAATATAAAAATACACTTATAATTAAATTACACACGTATATATATAATATATATAATAACTATATATATTGTATATATATATTATTATAAAATATAAATAATAAGTAATTTAAATTAAATAATTTTTTTTAAAATAATAATAAAAAATTTAAAAAAAATTATATAGCTATATGAAATTTTATTCTAACTGTATTTTAAAATTAATATATATATATTTATATCAAATACACTTAGAATGAATTTGTATATATATCTATGTATGTATAAATAAATAAAAATAATACAAAATATACATCTGTCCATATACAAAATTACATAATTATATAAATATACACGTAGACTTCAAATATATAAATATGCATATATATTTAAATTCTACGTCCGTATTTATGTAATATTTTTACATAATTCAGTAATTTTATTGATTGCAATTTGAGGGACCTGCCTGCCAACCCAGGCCGAAATTCCAGAAAATTTAATTTGCTAGCACTGTATTTTACCCTGTAACGTTCTACGACACCCTAAAACCTGTACATGGGGGGTACTGTTTTACTCGGGAGACTTCGCTGAACACAAATATTAGTGATTCAAAACAGTAAAATATATCACAGCGATGATATTGTCAGTGAAAGTTACTTTTTTTGCATTTTTTCGCGCTGCAAACAGCTTTTTACTGATATTATAATTGTTGTGATACGTTTTCAATTTTAAACACTATATTTACGTGTTAAATCAGTAGTACGGAGACTTCTCAACATTTTGAGCGTTACAGGTTAAAATATATGGGTCAAATATATTTTTACGAAAATGAAAGCCCGGGTTGAGATTCACGTTGCCTTTGAGGAAGCGTATGGTAGCCCAGGAATGAGAATTACCCCATGATGGCATACCATTTGCAAAAGAACACAACCCAAGGTATTTGCAAATGGGGTATGTCCAGTCTTTTTGTAGTAACCGCGGTCACAAACACTGGCCAAAAATTAAGCGTTCAATTTAGTTTTTTACTTTTCACGCACAAACAAATATGAATACACACTTTGACCCGTTTCGCGACTAGTAGCTACTAAAAAAGACTGGACACTTTTTTGTAATGATACCCTGGGTTAATCTACTAAAAAACAATAACTGCATGTGGGGTGTTACATTCAGCGAGATTTATGACAGATAATAGTGTTACAATGTCATTATTGATAAATTTTAAAAATGTATGTTTTGAAACCGCAATATCCTACTTGTACCTATAGCCCTATAACATGCAAAAAAAAGCAAAAAAGCATGTAAACACTAGGTATTTTTAAACTCAGGACAAAATTTTGAATCTATTTAGCAGTTTTTTTCATTCGCCTTTGTAGATGAGTAAAAGATTTTTCAAGTAAAAGTCAAAAAACATGTATTTTTTTCAATTTTTCATCAGATTTTTTTATTTTTTTTAAATTAAAATACATGAGATTATATAAATAATGGTATGTAAAGAAAGCCCCTTTTGTCCTGAAAAAAACAATATATAATTTGTATGGGAGCAGTAAATGAGAAAGCGGAAAATTACAGCCAAACACAAACACCACAAAAGTGTAAAAATATGCCTGGTCGCAAATGTACAACATCGCAAAAACAGTCCAGTCCTTAAGGGGTTAATAGCAGTTTCAGAGAAACTGCTATGTTTATCAATGGGTTAAGCCTTCCCCTATTCCCTCTAGTGGCTGTCTCATTGACAACCACTAGAGGCGCTTGCGTGCTTCTCACTGTGATTTTCACAGTGAGAGCGCGCCAGCATCCATAGGAAAGCATTGTAAATGCTTTCCTATGTGACCGGCTGAATGGTACGTAGCTCTTGCGTAGCGTGCGCGCATTCAACCATTGAAGGGAGGGAAGAAGAGGAGGATGGGAGGCTCCCGCTTTTGGTAGCTGGAAAGGTAACTTTTAACCCCTTTCCTTTCCAGAGCGGTGGATCAGTGTGTCGGAATATAGGAGCCAGCTAAAAAAGTTATGAGCCAGTCATTTTCAACAAGAAAGTGCATTTCTTAAAGGGACACTATAGTCACCAGAACCTCTACAGCTTGATGTAGTTGTTCTGGTGTCTATAGCCTGTCCCTGTAGGTGTTTCAGTGTAAACATTGCCTTTTACGCGAAACGGCAGAGTTTATATTGCTGCTTAGTAACACCTCTAGTGACAGTCACTCAGATGGCCACTAGAGAATCCTGGGTCACTGCTGCACCACGTGCAGCACCCAGGTTCAGTGTCTCCAAGCTCTGCATGGAGGCGCTGAATGTTCCTCATAGAGATTGATTGATTAATGTAATGTATCTCTATGAGGAGATGCAGATTGGTACATTTGCTGCGCATGCACAAAATCCTCCCAATGCTTTTCTAAGGGAAAGCATTGCCTTAGCAGAGATCATAAAGACTTATCTCGGCCATAGCGAAACTGGCACGGCGTGGGAAAATGGGAAGAAAGGTGAGTAAAAACATGTTCCTCATGCGATCGGAGGGGGCAGGTACCTAAACGTGCACACACACACTGACAGGCTCTCACACACACTCATGCTGACAACAGGCTCGCACACACAAACTGTTGACAGGCTCTGGCTTGCATGCACAAACAGACAGGCTCTCACAAACACACACACCCTCTGACAGGCACACACTCTTGACAGAACACATTTTTGTTTTAATTGAAACCCACTCAGCCTCCCTACCTTTGGGAGAGCTGAGTGGGTCTTTCCTGGGGTCCAGTGGGGGTTCTCTCTTCCTGTGTGCGAAGGAGCAGTACTCCGTTTGCAGCTCTTCTGCCTAGCGCTCTGTAATGATGCCGGGGCCAGAATGACATCATACTCCGGCTCCCGACATCATTAGACAGCGCGAGGGAGCAGCTGCATTTCTGACACAGGTCTAGTATTACAAAGGAGTTCTGGGAGGTACTATGATATCATCCTTACTTAACTGGTTTTCCAGTAATACCATAAGAATAGTATTATAGACAAAATATTAATTACCATTATTCACTTTTATTAAATACCTTGTTTAACTCTAGATGCAGATTCTAACATGTGAACAGACATGAACTTGAATAGGGTTAATCACAAAAATGAAAATTGCTGTGAATTCAAAGTGAATGTCAAATGGAAGGTCAAAATAGCCAAACTGAACTAAATTGACTTGGAATTTTTTTTCTAAATCTACTATTTTGGCCTAACCTTTGAATTCACTTTGAATTCCAGGCTATGCTCTGTAAATTTCAAATTCTAAGCTGAAGTAGCCAATTTTGTAAACTTCTCCAAATTTTCCAAGAATTCACACAATCGTAAATAACAGTGTATATACATACACACATATATAATCTTCCTTGATAAGGAAGAGGTAGATATATACACACACACACACACAAAAACAAAACAAAAAAAAACAGATAAAGATACAAATTGTATCTGTTTTTTTACATCTACATCACCAGACTAATACGGCTACAATCCAATCCAACTAATAAAATTATAAAAACACAATAATCCTGATCATTTATGAACTACCTACACTCCATCAATGCGAGAGTGATATCTGCAGTACAACATATCTAGTTTACTAAAGCGAATCTGTCACTTTCAGGGGGTTCCTTGCATATTTCACAAATACCCCAACATCGGACAGAACCGATCTAGTTCCAGTGTAAGACCACTTTCATTTATTTAAGGTTGTCCTGCGCAGGCACCACCATCTTCATGTTGCATTCTTCTTTGACTTCAGGCGATTCAGTGCATGCGCGAGAGTATAATACTGAGGTCTACGAAGAATTCCCCAAAACCACGGATCCTCCATAGACAGAGCCTGAATCCCACATCCATATGTCATTAACCTAGTGACAGCTGCTGAGATTGGACAAATGTTGCAAGCGGAGCACCACCTATTGTCAAACTCAGGCTTTTACAGGAGATAAACACTTTATTAGTCTACTAAACTGGGAAATAGTACTACCATTACATCAAAATAAGCAAATCAACATGCAACTTAACATGCAATTATCCACATACTCTAAATAACTAACTCTTGATTTCCATATATTGTGCCTATAACATTTCTAAAGGGCTTAACTCCTTAAGGACCAAACTTCTGGAATAAAAGGGAATCATGATATGTCACACGTCATGTGTCCTTACGAGGTTAAAATGGCAGGTTCAAGCTACAAGCCAGGCTTTAAAATTTGCACATCACTGCAAGCTTGGAACGTCCATGGCACTCGCCAGGGAAACATTTTCACAGGCCAATGGCTAGTGAGGAAATTTTCAGCCTTGTTTATATTCTAAATATCATGTTACCCTACCTCCTGGAGTGACACCCCTCTCGTAAATCCCCATTCTTCCCTAACTCTCCAATGGGAGCGACCACCCACCACCCTCTCCTCCACCGTGGTGTTACACAATGAGAATAATTGACCTGAGACCGTATTTTGCATCCATGTCTCAATTTATATAGACTCTGTTTTGTCTTTGACTCAAACAGTCAGCTCGTCACAAAAAAAAAGGGAAACAGTTAGGAATCTAATACAGTGTAATCACACAGCTTAGTTAACGCACATGAGAGGGGGGAAACTACATTTTATTAAAACGGATCAAAAACCAAGTGCAGTGCGTGCTGTCACATGACGCATGCGCAGTAACTCTGCGTTCCACCAAGAACGTCCTTTGTGACCGTCAAGCTAATTTCTGGGGTTATAATCGCTTAGGCAGAGGAAATGACGCACACAATCACAGCAGAACTCGTACACCCCGGTATGGGAAGTTATAACTATATAGGCTTAATGTCGTGCCACACTTACCGGCAGCCGCCACCGACCTCGCATTAAAAAAAAAAAAGAAATTCTCCAACCCGGCAGGGATTTCCTAACACGGCAATTGCTCCTCCCAGCCTGCAATGCGAAAGATGACGTTTGAACGCCGTCTCTGCCGTGTCAGTGGCTACTGTTTACGATACGTAGCAGGAGGCTGGGTTGGCTGCTCTTTATTTTGATTGGTACATCCTTTCCCTCAGCATATTCGTTAAAAATGTGCTGCGGGCTGTTGATTAATTTTCCAGGATTTTCTGTCGGGATGTACTAATAACGATTCCTATTGAATGTATATTAACGCGTATGAACCACAGAAAAACACCAAACCACAGCTCTTGTCAGGGTTATTCACTAAACTGTGAATTTAGCATGTAAGGCACAAATAGCCAAACTGAAAAAAAAATAAAAACAAGTCTCCCTATGCATCCAGTTTTACTATTTTGGCCTTAAATTCACATTTAACCCCTTAAGGACTGGACTGCTTTTGCGATGTTGTACATCAGCTACCAGGCCTCTTTTTACATTTTTGTGGTGTTTGTGTTTAGCTGTAATTTTCTGCTCTCTCATTTACTGTTCTTATACAAATTATATATATTTTTTTTTCAGGACAAAAAAAAAAAAAAGGCTTTCTTTACATACCATTATTTATATAAGCTCATGTAATTTAATTTAAAAAAAATAAAAAAATGAAAAATTGAAAAAAATACATTTTTTTTTACTTTTACTTGAAAAATCTTTTACTCATCTACAAAAGCGAATAAAAAAAACTGCTAAATAGATTCAAAATTGTGTCCTGAGTTTTAAAATATCCAGTGTTTACATGCATTTTTGCTTTTTTTTGCAAGTTATAGGGCTATAGGTGCAAGTAGGATATTGCGGTTTCAAAACATTTTTTTTTCAAATTTATCAATAGTGACATTGTAAAACTATTATCTGTCATAAATCTCTGAATAGCACCCCACATGTACATATTTTTAAAGTAGACAACCCAGGGTATTCAATACGGGGTATGTCCAGTCTTTTTTAGTAGCCACCTAGTCACAAACACTGGCCAAAGTTAGCGTTCATATTTGTTTGTGTGTGAAAACTAAATTGAACACTAATTTTGGCCAGTGTTTGTGACTAAGTGGCTACTAAAAAAGACTGGACATACCCCATTTGCAATACCTTGGGTTGCCTTCTTTTGCAAATGGTATGCCATCATGGGGGTAATTCTCATTCCTGGGCTACCATACGCTCTCAAGGGCAACTTAACCAACCTGGCCATTTTCAATGTAAAAATATTTGACCCATATATTTGACCCTGTAACTTTCAAAAACGCTATCAAATCTGTACATGGGGGGTACTGTTATACTCGGAAGACTTTGCTGAACACAAATATTGGTGTTTCAAAACAGGAAAATGTATCACAACAATTATATCATCAGTAAAAGTGCTGTTTGTGTGTGAAAAATGCCAAAAAATGTCACTTTCACTGATAATATCATCCCTGTGATATTTTTTACTGTTTTGAATCACTAATATTTGTGTTCAGCGAAGTCTCTCGAGTAAAACGGTACCCCCCATGTACAGGTTTTAGGGTGTCATAGAAAGTTACAGGGTAAAATACAGTGCTAGCAAATTAAATTCTCTGGACTTTCGGCCTGGGTTGGCAGGCAGGTCCCTCAAATTGCAATTAAAAAAAAATACTTAATTATGTAAAAATATTACATAAATATGCACGTAGAATTTAAATATATATACATATTTATATATTTGAACTCTACGTGTATATTTATACAATTATTTATGTAATTTTGTATATGGACATATGTATATTTCGTATTATATTTATTTATATATACATAGATATATACAATTTCGTTTTAAGTGTATTTTGATATAAATATATTTTAATATCAAAATATAGTTAGAATAAAATTTCATATAGATATATTTTTTTTAATTTTTATTATTTAAAAATGTTTTATTTAATTTACTTATTTGTATTTTATAATAATATATATATACAATATATATATTTATTATATATATATATATTATATATATACGTGTGTAATTTAATTATAAGTGTATTTTTACTTTAATATATGTATATATTAATATAAAAATACTTAGTATGACATATATATGATATATAGACATATTATATAGATATAATATATGTCTATATATCATATATATATACACACATATATAATTATGTTTTTATTTATTAATATTAACCTTTATTATTTTTTTATTTATTTTACACTGGCAGGGAGACTGTCTGTCAGCACAGGCAGTCTCCCTGCAGGCAGACACGTGGACACCTATTGTGACCATGTTATCGCTCTGTTGAGCGATCACATGGCCCCATGGGTCCTAATCCGCCGCGGGGAGACTGTCTGGGCTGCAGGCAGTCTCCCCACACCGGGAGCACCGCCGATCGCCGCTGGGGGAACGACGACGATCGGGTAAGTACCGTCATCGGTCGGCAATGCAAAAATGCAGATGACGGTCCTGAACCGTCCTAGGTCGTTACGGGGTTAAGGCGACAGAAGTCAAACGAAAAATATAGCTGTTATTCACTAAACTGAGAATTCAAAGTGAATTTCAGATTTCAGGTCAAAATGGCCAAACTGGAAACATTCACTAATAAAAGGTATTTACTAAAGTAAAAAGTGAATTTTAAATTGAAGACCAGAGATGCCGAAACTGAAAGCATAGTTGACTTACATATTTTATTCAAGTTTGATTTAGTTGACCATAAATTTTAAGTTCACTTTGAATTCTCACTTTAGTGAATAACAGCTATTTTTTTTATTTGACTTCTGTCGCCTTAAATGTGAATTTTCTATTTAGTAAATATCCTTGGGAAAATGGGTTATTCTCTAAACACTGAATATTTTCCAGATGGGCAAAATCCAATTAAATTGATGGAAGTCCAACCACCATGGCATGAATACGTGTGTATGCATGAATGTAAAAGCGTTAGGAGGAGCCATGGTCTGATGTTATTGACTGACTGAGTGAGGGGCCACGAGAGAGCTCTATATGTGGTTTGCACCCAATAAAAGTGCAGACCACAATGAGAGGGACAAATTAAAAAAAACAAACAGGAATGATGTGTAAAAGCTTATGCACACACGCAACCTCCTGCCCCCAACACTGATAACATTCAGACACTGCACAGTTTACCTCCCCTCAATACACACACGACTCAGCCACCACATGCAAAATAATTAAATAGCATATACAGGAACCCTCAGTTTAACACACTCACCTATCCAAATCTAAAACACTCAGACACTACACACAGACACACAAAACACAGTCACCTCACACACCAATCAACTGCCCTTACTCGCAGTACAGCGCCCAGGAGAGAGACAAAATCTTAAAGGGACACTATAGGCACCTAGACCACTTGGTCAGTGTGCAATGTCCCTTTCACCTTTAGTCCTGCAATGTAAATAGTGCAGTTTTAGAGAAACTGCAATAATTACATTGCAGGACTAAGAATGCCTCTAGTGGTGATCCAGCACACAGCCACACTAGAGGCACTTCCTGCTTGCTTGGCAACTTTTGGTTGCCTAACTGATGCTGGACATCTTCACACTCTGCATGAGAACATCCAGCGTCAGTCAAATCCCCAAAGGAATTAGTTCAGATTTCTAATTCATAGCACTATGATTGGTTGGTTTAGAAGTTAACCACTCGCATCGCTCTGATGGGCAAGGTGAAGTGAGACTTTGCTCATCAGGATGCTTTGATTGGTTGGCTTCTAAACAAACCAAGAACAATACTCTGAATGAGAACTGAAGGCATAGGCAGGACTTTATAAAATAATTTATTCCATAGAATGCTCATTCATATGTTGCCAACATTAGTAGTTAGTGGGCAAATAGTTAAAAAGAAGAAAAAAACCTCAGCAGCATGAGAGTTAAGTGTGTGGCAGCTGTCCAGCACTGCCTAGCTGGCCACCACAAAAAATAAATAAATGCATCTGTGCACCTGAACCTGTGCACATTACCCTTTATTCCCTCTATGGGCTGTTCGTGTCCTTCCCCCTGTTATTTCATATGTTTTTATTTAGATTTCGTGTGTGGGACAGATCACGTTGTCCCTGGATTATCCTGCTATTTTCCCTTGTCGCATGGTTGTTTGGTAAATAGCATTCACCTCCCATATTAACAGTATTCTGTTCGACAACCGAACAAATCACCAAGCGCCAGACTGCCCATATGTAGAGTGTGCCTTTTGTTAACCTCCGTTCACACCTCCACAAACCAAAATAACACTTACATTCTAGGCGATCGGCTGGGTGGCCTCCGTTCGTATGTGCAAACACATGGCGGAGGCCATCTTTAACCAGCAACAGAGACAGCGGTGTTTGGTCGTCGAGTGTATGGTACTAAAATCAAACACTTGCTGGAGCGAACACCGCTGGGACTTCCACCTCCGGTTATGTTCGTCGGAATTCATACTAACTGAGAGGTGTTAAGGGGGGGCAGACTCCCGAACAAGATACATGGGATGAGCTTACACATGAACATTTTATTTGTTAGTTTTCGTATGTTTTGTACTCCCGAAAGAGACCGACCACACAGCTTGATTTCATGGAACCTTTTTGGGCAAGCTCCTCGTGTGTAAACTATACCCCGGTGGTGTTTTGGCTGCGTTCGTGGTATCTGATATATGTTGGGCTCTCAGATCCACGCTATCCGGGGATATAGGACTTGAGGGGGTACCTTGTTGTTAACGGTATGTTTTGGGGTGTTATTACTGTATATGTCCTGGACCTTAGAGTTAATATGTTGTGTATTTTATCTCAGTCTACTCTCTGGTCCAGTGGGGAATGCCCCATGCATGTGTATCAGGAAACCCCTTGCATGGGGAGTGACATAAAAGGTTGTGTGTGGCTCCATTAAAACCAGTTATACTCCCAGAGCTGAGTGTCGTCCAGTTGCCGGGGAGGAGGTAGGAGATTCCTGGATTATTTTACTGTGTTTGGTAGTCTCCTTGAAGTTCTTTACTTGTTCCAGAGTATATTTTGGAGTAACCAGAGCAGGAGAGTCCCTGCTTGGACTAGAGGTCGGCTACAGCATCAATACAAATGTAAAAGTACATAAGGGGGACAATCTGATATCCATTTTACTATAGGGGGAGTATATCCTCTC